GAAAGGTGAAAACGCCTCGCTTCGCCTCACTCGCGCGCGAGGCAAGTCCCGCCTTCACCTCGCAGCGGCAGGCGACCTCATCCAGGGTGAGGCCTGCGCGGGGGCACGCTGAAGGACGGGCAAACTGCCGGGGTCATTTTTGTTGACCGTTTCCTTACCCCTTAAAACTCCAAGCCCTGGGGAAGTTCTCATCTTTTACAGACATATAGCCCATGTTACCCCCAAAAGTTGAAAAGTTGTGTTTTTAAGAGGTAAGTGTCTTATCAAAGTCAGAAAACGGGGTTGTTTACCTTTAAGCCATCACTTGGGGGGTGGCTCTGATCATGGTAAAACAATGGGGCCAGAAATGATGAGCTTCCATTTGCGTTTTCTTGGTTGACGTTGGAAGCGGCGCAAAAAAAAAAGAAGATCTTAGCAGCTAAGTGGGGGGATTTCAGCCACTAAACCACAATTAGCCAAAAAGGTTAACAACCTCAAAAGTGACTGATGGACGTGAATCCCCACCCAAACGATGTCCAAAGGGCACCTTATTAAAATTCACACCCACATATTGTCAGTAGTAATAGGCTCCCTTTAAAACCAAAAAGGGAAAATAGCAGTGACGGCGCCTGTTGTTCGAGCCGGCCGCTGACCAAGCCAGTAGTGGCTTGGACGCGAAGAGAAATGAGTAACATCTTCTTCCATGTGCGTTTTCGCCCCCTGTAAAAAATACCAAAAATATGTCCAGTGATAGATCCCCGTTCAACCCAACAAGTTTGTTTTTAATAAATCATAAATACATATATATATATATATATATATGTTCTTAAGCAAATGGAAGGCTTGTTTCCCCACCCCAAACAGGAGCAGAGCCCTTAATTGGCTTCCCATTTCCCCTGCCCAGGCTTTGCAAAGAAGTGGCATACAGTGGATGGACGAAATCCTGCACCACTTTGAACCCATGTTCGTTGCTGTTTGAAGGGGGGTCATCATTTCAGGATTTCGTCCATCCACAGTAGGGGCTGGGACAATGCCGTCATTTGATCCAGAGTGTCTAGATACCCCCCGCCAACCGAGAAAAAACACTTTGCCAGTGGTTTTCCTGTAAACCAACCAAACATTCGGGTCAGGAAACACGCACCCACCCACCCACCGACCCACCCAAACACTCACCAACCAACCCAACCCAACCCAACCCAACCCAACCCAACCCAACCCAACCCAACCCAACCCAACCCAACCCAACCCAACCCAACCCAACCCAACCCAACCCAACCCAACCCCACCCACCCACCCACCTGCCCTCCCCACCCACCTGCCCTCCCCCCACCCACCCACCTACCCAGACACCCCCTCTCAAGCCGTCGCCTAGGGAGTGTTGGGACGCAGCGATGAGCAGGCAGGCGCAGCCCAGGCGTTTGTGGGATTCCTGCCGACCGTCCACCTACTCCAAATACCCATTTTTTTGGGTATCATGTCGACCCTCTACTGAACAAGGAGGTATTTACCGTGGACAACCAGGTTTTTCAAAAACTCCCCTGAAAAAAGAGGGTATTTGGAGTAAGGGGAAGGAGATTCCATCACCAGCCCCCTAAGAGGACCTGAAAATGTGACACGGAGATACCTAGAAAATATTGTAGGTGGTTGGGATCACATATAACCTTTTTGGGGGGTCCATGTTAACCTGCGGAGTAGAAGTGCCAGTGCCAGATACCCTTGGTCCATGGAAGAGAACGGGCTCTGCGTAAGCATAGACTGGATTGCTACAAGGGCCAGCAAAATCCCACGCTGCTTGGCAGCTGCGTAATGATGCGTCGACTCCTCGGGCTACAAGCGCGCTAGCTCCACGAGCAAGCCACAAAGCAAACTGCAACTCAAGAGCCACCAAGTACAAGCAAATTGGTCCAATGTTCCTCTTGATGTATTGATGGGTCTACTTGTAAATGATGCGTCACCAAACAAAGGAGACCAGATCAACCAAAATGCAATTACAAGTAAGGACTAATTTGGGGAGGGTGGGTGGGGCGTCGGAGCGAACCAAGTACAGCTTCCATGATCGTCAGCGGGAGGCGACTTCAGCAACCAATGGACAAGGGACACCAGCTGTCCAGTGACTTTTTGGTAAACCGAGTAAAACCGCCTGCTTGGGCAAACGCAAGAATGACCAAAGTGTTGAAACGGAGCTCAAGGAAAGCTCCGTGTTTTGCGGCAAGCCCGTCAAACCCGATCGTTTCCGCCACCCAAACCGACGGAGAGCGTCAGCGGTCAGCTGGCTCCTTGGTGCCCTGAAAGCGCCGACTCAGCTGGCCCTGCACCAATCGCAGCCTAGGAGCGCTCCGCGTTTGTTTCGGACACCGATGACCGGGTGGTGGGCTCGACGAATGTATTCTTCGGCTCAATTTGGCCAGATCTGGAGTCTCCGCAACCCTTTCAAAATGGTTGGTCATTACCCAAATTAAGGCGTCATGACCCCTTTTTCGAGGGGTCATGGAGACTCTAGGTATATCTTCCAGGGGCACTGGATGTCCCTAAAAGAAAAGTTGATCAATTTATATACTGGCGGTTTCCGTTGAAACAATCAATCCACTTTTGGAGGTTCCACAAACCGAAAATGGCTCGGAAACGATGTGGATGCAAAAAAATAAGTTTTAGTATTTAAGTTGGAATTTCCCAATACAACACAATAAGCAAACATGAAAAATGTTTCCCAACAACAACCATGGTACCTGGATCCTTGTAAAGGCTTCGAAGCCAAGAGATTCGGAAATCACATTTTAAATCACACACACACACAAAAAGACGCAGGATGAACGGGCTTGAGGGCTTCCATTTAGAGCCATGCCTGTTGGGCTTGCCTGCTGACCATGTCAGACAGGCCATGTTCCCTTTCACAGCACTTGGAGGCGGTCCCCAGGTTTACAGCAAACCCTGGCCCTGCGCCCCCCCCCCCCCCAACCCCCAACCTCAACACCCGAGAAACATGGACAAACATCGACGCCACGGTCATACTGTGGATGGTTGCGAAATCCATTTCGCACCACCTCAGAAACCCTGGAATGATGACCCACCTGTAAATACCAACAAATAGTATATAATGGTTTCAACCATGGTTTCCAAGTGGTGCAGGATTTCCATCCACAGTAGCTTACTTAGAAAGTACCATGGCTGTGCAAGTTCCCAGCAAGGTTGATGAGCGGCCCACCCAGGCACATGTGTCAAACAACCCTCCAGGGGTTGATGCCCGCTTCATGGGTCATGACCCCTTTTTCTAATGGTCATGGAGACTCTAGGTAGGGTCTCCCCACAAAGTCAAGGAACCCCTCTTATCAGCCCCCTCAAAAGCTCCAAAGGCTGATGTGGATTGGTTTGGAGGATGGGGCCGGTTTCCCATCAACCCTCTACCCTCCATTGTCTTAAGCCCCCTGGAAAACATGAGAACATATTTCCGATAGATATAGATTCCCTATGCCTAACAGGAACAAAAACACAAATATGTTCAGCAAATGGAAGTCAACAAGAACTAGGGGTTCAAAATTCCAAGCCAGTCCAAACCACCAACTCTTGGTTGCCTTCTCTTTAATGCCCCTCCTCCTTTGCAGGGCTCCCCCACTCAGCTGCGAGGAATGGTCCCTACACATTCTCCCTAGCCCAAAGGAAACCAAGACACGTCGCACCCGGAAGGTGCTGAAAGCCACCGGGGCAAGACAGACTGCTGGACCAACCTCTGTTCCACACCGCGGCTGAACCCCCCATGAAATATTGGCTCACTTCCTGACTGGACTGGCAGACACATTTTTTATTATCAAAAAAAAACATGGCTGGCACTAAGATGGTACTCCCAACCTGCAAGTTCATGACCTCTGGGAGTGAGTTGGGCTTTTTCCCACCAAACTGGTAAGCACCTGGAACCTCAGATCTTTCCACCCGCCGGATCCCGGATGACGCTCCGGAGCCGAAAAGCGCGGCATCCTGGATGACGCTCTGCAGGCGCAGCTGGCCGCAGAGCTTCCCCAGCGCCACCCGCCACTTCTGAATGCGCACATGGAGCCGCACTGCCTGAGGCGCACGTTCGCGCTCCCCCTTCGAGTGGATGGGCCGTCCCAAAGAAAAACAAACAAAAAACGGAACTTTTGGTTTGCCACTAAAATAGTCCAAACCCGAAACTAGTAGAAAGTAAAAAGGAACCAAACTTGTTGTTGGCCAGCAAAATGGTCCAAACCCAAAGAGTGAGCAAAGTCCAGGAACTCGGGCCTTGAGGGCTTTTCCGAGTGCGACTTGAAGCCTCAGTGGTTCAAAGGACCCACATTTTGGGAACCTCTGCAATCGCGTGTGAAGATCCCATAGACTTGAAACAAGTGGTGGTTGGCTTCCGGGTAAGTTACCACTTGAAAAAGGCGGGGACAAACCCAATGGCCCAGTCAAGTTCCCTTTGTACTAGGTTGGTAACGACCCAGGTCAACATCGGATCAATGGGCTTGCAGCCAAGGCTCTTTCTGGTTGTGCTCCCGTAGCCGCCTGAACTTGAGCGATAGGCATGAGTTGGAAGGACCCCGAATAAAAACATCCCTCCCTAAAGGTCTCGATTGTTTTTGGGCCTTCAAAACTGGTTGTCTTCAAGGGCCCCTCAAAAATTGGTCGGGGTTCTCCATTGGAGGGTCCGGGGCTATGCATTGGAGGGGTGACCCTTAGGGCTTGTGGCTTCCAAGGGAATCTCCAGCTTCATTCCCTCCTTCTATCGCAGCAAGCCGAAAAAGCGCCAGCTGGACCAAGGTGCCCCAAACGAAAATGCTCCAACCCAGAAAGTCTGCCCACTTCCGATGTGGACTGGCCCAAAACACACACACACACACCAAAAAAAAGAGAAAGATCTTGTGATTTGCCGCTGAACTGGATATGGGCCCAAATTAAACCACCAGGAAAACGCAGGTTTTAGTCTTTGTTTGCAATTGCCAGGGTTCCATTCCGATACCGATTGTTTACCCACACCCAGTGTAAGAAAGAATATGCCCCAAAGGTCCATCAGCGGAAGTGGGGTGTCTTTGCACAAAAAGGGGGTGATCAAAAGGTCCTAACTAACTAGGAAAAGTTAGCCATGATCATTTGCGGACCAGGAATGTTGACCAACCCCCAATTCTCAGTTGCCCCTTCGGGAACTGGCAGCAAAATTGTGATCACCTTTTTGGCGTCGGCGGAGCCAGATGCGGCCCAGCAGCGCGATGTAGTAGGGGTGGTAGGTGTTCTGCAGGGATCGCGGAGTGCAAATTGTTCGACTCGCGAGCTCACAGATTCATATCCGGTATACTTGCAGGCTTCGGAGATATAAAACCACCAAATATTGTTATGCCGTTCTGCCTTGTTCGGATGACATGTCAATTATATTCTATCTATAATTCAAGTTCATGCAAGAAAGCGAAACACTGAACTAACTAAGTTGCACTTCACACTAAGCAAAAACAGCGATACGGAAGGGTTGAATGAGCATCCAGACATGCAAGGAGAGATACACTTTACTCCGACCTGCATCTCGTTCAAGGATATGCGAAAGAATGCAGGGAATGGAGTTTAAGTCAGTGGGATTTGTAGATTGCAAGCACAAAAGTACGCTCTCAACAAACTCGTCTGGGCAAATGGCCAAACATCCAAACAAACGCGGGTGCCCCAAAAATTGCTTTTTTCTTGCTTCTCCTTTAAGACGACAATAAACGGGCACCCTAAAAAGAGAGAGACACCCATGTAACCCCCAGAAGTCTGCACAATGCACTGGCTCCCTATGACCGCCCATCCCCTCGATCCTGCAACTTCTTGCCAGCAGCCGGCGCGCGGACAAAGCCTGTGGCGGTAAGCAGGGGTTGCCTTTTGAGTTTTTTGTAGAGAATGAAAGCCGCCTCTTGGAGAATCCTACCAACACCTCTACCTGGACGAAGACAGCAAAGACCAAGTTCAAAAGCGGCAAGTCGCCAATTAGCGCAATGACCCGTCCTTGGCCAGAATCTCACACCAGCATCCTCAACTCTAGAGAAACGGTGGGGCCCTTACCTAGAACTTCACTGCTCATGTTTGCCCACATTTCGGGAGCGCCTCTTTAGGGGCTCGCTACCCCCCTGCCTGTACTTCCTTCAGGCCTTGCCCCCTTATTTTTGCAAGGGGTCAAGAGGCACTTGCCCCACATGTGGAAAACAGAACTTGTCGGAAAAGCGTAGGGCCCCCGCTCTTCCACACATGACTTCCCTTGTGCCACTAGGGGTCATGTATGGGAAGCGCTTTCTTGGAGAACGTCCCCCTGCCATAATTACTCAGGTGGAAATGGATGGTGGTAAAGCCGCGGTCCGGCTTGGCCGCGTTTCCCGCTAGCTCGAACATGGTACAACCAAACATGGGAAACTGAAAGGTCGATTGATCCGGCCAATTCAGGGTCAGAACTGCTGTGGCCCTAGCATAGTACTCGTAAACCACCCCCCGAAACCATGGTTGAAACTACGACAAGTTGGGGTTCCCTTCTAGGTCCTCCAGTAGTTTGAGGTTACGGTTAGAATAAGGGTACCAACTTTTTTCTGTAGTCCATTTCAGGGAAACCCTCCCCCGAAAAAGGGAAAAAGGGCACTACTGGGGGACCTAGCTACAAGGAGATTCCATCACCCCCTAAGAGGACCTGAAAATGTACAATCTTTAGATTCTTGCAAAGCATTGCGGGTGGTTGGGATCTCATATAACCTTTTTGGAGGGTCCCCAACCAAAGGGGAGAGAAAGGGCACCAATTGCTGGGACCTAGTCCTTTCCCCTACCCTGTTTTAAGGCAGGGGCATCCATCGTACAGATGCCCAGTTGATTTGTTATAGGAAAAAAAAGGATCGGCATGTTGACAAGAGAAAGGCAAGTTGGTTGGTTTCAAGTTGGTTGGTTTTGGGTTGGTGGTTGCTTTCTGTTTTCTGGTGGTTTTTCTATTTTTGCTTTTGTTGGTTGACTTTTAAGGGGACCCCCTCGCAAAAACAAAAAGGAACAAAGGGCAGCACTGGTACCTAGCCAAGTGGAATCACGTTGCTTCCGCGCGCCCGAAGCAACTCGATCGGCTTCGATTGGCCTCGCCTTGCTGTTCCACCAGCACCTCAGAGTACCGGGTGCCGCAGGCGCAGGCGCCCTGGCTTGCGCTTTTTGGCCGGGCAGGAAGGGGCTGAAGCATAGGAACTGGCGGAAGTCCACCCCCCCACCCCCACCGATTGAGAGCCGGGAGCATATATGTTGAAAGAGAACAAGCCATGCGTCATGATTTTCTATCCCTTGGCTTTCCTTCACTGACCTGCTGAGTTAACCTATGATAAAGAAACCAATGGTTGAGTTCCAACTCAACAGGTGCGTTTGGAGAAATTGACCGCTCGGATAAGGGCTACTTAATACTCAAATAATGGACGTCTATCCCTTGTGAAGGGCTACTGTCAAGCTTCACACCCCCGAGAGATTCAGGCGGGCTGTCCAAACACAGATCCGTTCCAAGGTTCCCCGAAAAGTACATCATAGTACATCCACAAACGGCCGATGCCAATAAACCAACCGCAACCACCCACACCATGATTGAAACAACATGATAAGGGAGGTCCCATGTTCCCCTACTTGCAATTCATGGCAGGGGCATCCTTGTGTAGCACCTCATTCATGCACAGGGATGATCTGAATCATATGGCAAATGTGAGCCTTCTGGTTACTTGGCGCTTTGAGGCCGGATGGTGCTTCCAAAGACTTTTAAAGTCCATGAACTCAATAACTGAGAACATTAGTGAAATACATAGTTGGCCACCTGCCATACACACATGCACATTGTCCAAGGGGACACGCAGTGTGTATGCCTGACATAGTGCCTTTCTAGTGTACCCCGCTGTTATGCTAGTGGTCTGGGGTCAATGGACACCTTCTTCTCGCTGGCCGAAAGCGTGGCAGTTCGATCAAAGTATTAAAGACTGCGTTCCAACATCGTCATTAGGCAAAAACACGGCAACACCAACTCCATTCCTGCGTGGAATGCCAGGACAAGTCTGAACTTCACCCTTTACTCGGCAAGTCAGATGTCCTGCATTGCCTGCCAAATTTTCCTGGCCTATGAGGTTTGGCATGAATGTTTTAGTTGCAATGGAATCCATATTCCTTGCCCGAAATCACCATGGGTACCTGGTCCCATGTAGTGGGAAATGTCATCTTTTGTGAGGATTTCCCCAATGGTCATCCGATGTAGAGGACCTTTGGACCAACCCCAATGCCAGAATATGTAAACATCGGAGCAGTCAGCCTGACTGACAGAACAACGGAGGCCAAACAGTCGCTTTCCTGTTGGACAAACCGCTCCTTCTCACTAGTGCTTGACCACTCCGCCTCAGCGTCCCCACACTCAGGGCAAGACATCGCGAAGGCTCAAACGAAAATGCAGGGCTGCCCATCCAACTGACCTGTTGATTGGTTTAAAAACATGGTCAAGAAATCTGCCAACAGGCAAGCTTGAAGTTGGGCAACTCAACCGGTAAGTCAATTGAGCAGAGTTGTGTTTGGGTTGTGTATGTTGCCGCGAAGATGTGGGTCTTCATCCAGAAAAACAAAAGGCTCTTCAATTGTCCATCGTCTTGAGTTGACTGCTGAATGCTCCAGCTGGATGTGTCAAAACCAGCACACATCCAAGGCAGGTATGGGGGCAGCCCCATGAATCTGATGCTCCGGCTACCGCTCCTACCCAAGCAATCTAAAAGCAATCACCTGCTCTGAAAATAGCGGCGGCAGGGGCTTTGTGATCATGACTCTCGTGATTGAGATGCAGCGAGCTCAGTTTCCCCCCCCCCTGTGCGGAAAATCGGACCACTGAATTAATACCTGACTTCTCGCCCCCAATAAGATGGATGTCGGAAACTTAGACCAACTTAGATCAGGAGTTTGATGTTTTAATCTGGCAAAGATGGGGGAAACAAACATGTCCATTCCGAAAAACGGAACTTGGAAAACAGCTCTTTCCGCTCCTTGCTTGGTATTCATGTCTCGTGCTCTCAACATCAAACCTTTCAGGCCATGCAGGTGTAAGAGGTGCCCAACTTTGGGGGAACAAAAACATGTTCTTGGCCATCTGGGGCACACTTTAAAAAAAACAAAAAAAACGATCTGACGTGCCACCCCGAAAGTCCAGTCCAGACACCTACCTAATGTAACATAGTGTTGGCATCGGAGACCCCAGTTTGGAGAGGGAAGCTGGGCAGCCCCATTGGGTTGACTGGGCACACCTATTGGCCCCAGGTAAATCTGCATGTCACAGTCTATGTGTCCTCAGAATGCGTCTGTTGGAGGGGGCTATCAACATGGTCATGGTGGACATCATTTAGGTGGGGATTCCATGTCCACCCACCACTCGATTTCCCCAAAGTTCCTAGATGGCCACATCGGGTTAATTGCCGGTCTTCTTTGCACTATGTTCAACAACTCCAACTTCCCTGACAATGTTCCAAAGGAGAATGCAAGCGAGCCAAAAAAATGGAAAACGGCAGGATTCCCTAGCTGCGCTGGAACAGATGGTGCGTCCCCTGCTCGCAAATGGACCACGCACCAACAATCTTGACCAAACGGATTAGCTTTCAACATGTGACCCCTGCCAAAATACTCGTGGAAACCAGCCAAAACGGGGGTGGTTTCCCCTTGAAGCTTCCAACCAAAAGCTTCCATTTGCTTTTTGTGTGCCCTGGAAAAATATGTCCCATGGACTCAAAACCAACCCGGGAAAACACGAAAAACACATCTTTTCAGTGGCGATTGATTTGTTGTTTGCAACCAACCGGTTGGCGAGGGGCAAATGTTGAAACACCAACAAATCCATATGCATCCCCTTACAAACCAACCAAAGAGGGGGGGGAAACATATTCTGTCCAGCTGTATCAACCAAAGAGGGGAGGGAAAAACACATTTTTGTTCATTTCAGCAAAACATGGAAGCAAGCTTACGGACCTGGACCGAAAGCCCCCCTTTCCGGTCCCGGTGATGGATCGATGTCTGGGACCCCGGGCCCGGCGGCGGCGGCCTGGCCTGCGGCCACCTGCGCCAAGATGGACCTCGCAGGTTGGCTTTTCGGAGTTCCTGGAGTCTGCTTCCGACCCTTTAAAAATGGTTGGGGTCATGACCCAAAATTAAGGGGTCATGGACCCCTAGAAAAAAACCAAAAATTAAGGGGTGACCCCTTTTTCTAGGGTCAGAAGGAGACTTTTTGGAGTTCGGGTGAGGTGCCGGGCATCCAGTCCAAACCAACCAGGAATTCAAATTTGATCGATGCGTTCCCACGACACATCGACAAAAAAAAACACATAAACTCACGCCGCCCATCAAGGGGAAAGGACCCCGAGGAACGCCAAGCTGCAGCGCCACGTTCTTCCCGTCCCGGCCGCTGACGTCGCTCCTTGGTCTAAGGGGGTCATAAGAAGTCCAAACAGGTCAGCAGAATCTCCACACCCTTTTGACTCCATATACATACATACATATATATATATATATATATATTCATATGTATATACACTTAGAGACCTAAGCAAACAGTCAGCTTAGCTCCCAAGACACTCCGATTGACGCGGGACGGTAGGCCAGCATATGGTTCGGGATTTGCATTCCCGAAACCTGGAAACTCATCAGCTTCCCTCCTGGATTGGATTGGAACGGAGCTCCGAGAAACAAAATTGGAACACAGGGCGAGCGCCAAGTATGTCCAAGTAGCTAGTGGCCAAGTTGGACATGGCCCCCAACTCGTCTGGACCGCTTTAGTTCACCCATGGCCCTTTCTGCACGACTGGCTTGGGTGGCCCCGAAGAAGCCACCGAACAGGGCGACGAAAAAAACTTAAACCATCTCCCCCATGAAGGGATGACCACCTATCAGGGCTCAAAAAGGTGAGGTTGATTTTATAACCACCCAAAATGGGAAATATACTTGACGTTGGAAGGTGAAAATCAAAAATCAAATTACAGCAGTTGACTGGGGAGTTCAACCACTAAACCACAAGAAGCAAACATGTTTCTAATGCTCCCCAACAACAACCATGAAGAAACTGGGTGTGGGCCAAAACCCATGTTCAGTGAACATCCCGATCCCCACCAAGATAGGTTCCGAAATGGGTGGTTCTTCAAGCCAGGGTTTGTCTTTTCCACTGAAATGAACAGCCTCCCTCCAAAAGGGTTTCTACACTATTAGGGGGGCTGCTTCTTTATCCCACAAACAGTGGAAAAGGCAAACCATGGGTTCTTCCGGGCAACCCCCATGAAAGACTCAAAAGGATCACATCAATGCCCCAGCGGCGCAAGCAGCGCCCGCAGCAGCCGGCTGGAGATGATCATCGCCTGGCGGAGGGATTGATCCGTCGGATCGCTGGGTTGCGGTAACTTTAAGATTGCCGCTGGGAGGTAGAGATTGGAAACATCAAAATAATTATTTAGTGAATACTAGCAAATGAAATAGTGAATGGGAATAGTGAATTAAAACAATTGCGAAAGGAAATAGTGAATGGGAATAGTGAATGGGAATAGTGAATGGACATACGCCTTAAATTCAATGAAATGTTAGAAAGAAATTCACTAAATTTCACTAAATTTCACTAAATTTCGCAAATCCAATTTAGTGAAAATTAGTGAATTTAGCGAAATTTAGTGAAATTTAGTGAAATTTAGCGAAACTAATTAAATTCAATGAAATTTTAGAAAGAGATTCACTAAATTTCACTAAATTTCACCAAATTTCACTAATTGCGAAATTTAGTGAAATTTGGTGAAATTTAGTGAAATTTAGCGAAACTAATTAAATTCAATGAAATTTTAGAAAGAGATTCACTAAATTTCACTAAATTTCACTAAATTGCATTTGCGACATTTAGTGAAATTTGGTGAAATTTAGTGAAATTTAGTGAAATTCAGTGAAATTTAGTGAAATTTAGCGAAAATTAGCGAAACAAATTAAATTCAAGAACTTTTAGAAAGAGATTCACTAAATTTCACTAAATTTCACTAAATTTCATTAAAATTCACTAAATTTCGCAAATCCAATAAAGTGAAATTTAGTGAAATTTAGTGAAATTTAGTGAATCTCGCTCTAAAAATTCATTGAATTTCATAAATTTCGCTAAATGTCACTAAATTTTACTAAATTTCACTAAATTGGGCTTGCGAATCTGCAAATCCATGTTTCCCAATTCACAATTTTGATTCACTAAATATTTCATTCACTATTTTGATTCACAAACTATTTCACTATATTTCACTAATTTAATTCAAAACATGTGTTTCAGTGTCTGCCTGGTCCGGCAATCTTAACGGTAACTCGGATGGGTTACCGGTACTCGGTTGCGAAATCTGCGAAGCCCTGCTAAAAGTGACTAACTGTTGGTGGTTTAATACGGAAAACCCCCATTAGTTGGCAAAAAGTTAAAGTCCTAACATCCAAGCAAAATGCGCCAAAAGGTATATGAAATGGGCGGCCCGTTCTTTTTGTTTTGAGGCGAGCCTTTTTGGGGGCATCGCTTTCACTGTTTCGAGGGGCGGGGTTGGGAAAATGGGTTGCCGTAAATGGACAGCTCCAGTGGGTCAGTTTCCTCCAATTCTAGGTGGAGAGGTCAGAATATGGGTACCCTTGTTTCTGTAGTCTATTTTAGTAGGGGACCCTTCCCCCAAAAAAGGGTAAAAGGGCACTATTGGGGGACCTAGAATTCCATTGTTCCGGGTCTCGGAGTCCGGATATTTGTTGCGCCCTTTTCGCCCGAGCAACACCCACTCCTAGAAAGGTGAGCTGTTTTCCCTCCCTGTGGGGGCTCCAGGTTCCCCCCCCCCCAGCCCACCGAAAAAACGTCGAGCACCTTTTGAATCTCAGATGCCTAGTGGCCATGGGAAGAAAAGGGCATCTTTTTGGGTTGGTTGACTTTAAAGGGGAACCCCTCCCAAACAAAAGAACAAAGGGCACCACTGGGCAACTGGGGAAAAGAACATGTGGTGCAACAGGTGTACGGGCTTGGATATCTCAGCACAAAATATGTGAGCCCCCCAATATGGGTTTATCTCAAAAATGCAGGCACCCTTTTCGGATGGTTGTAAAGGGCAATCGCAAGGCAAATCAAATTGATCCTCGAAACCGGTCAGCTCAGACACGTCCAAACATGTGGAAAATCCAGGGAGCTTTGACTGAAACGAGGCACCCGCTCACGCCGCACGTTTTGTCAACTCACAAAAACCGCCGACCATAAGAGGGACGGGGGGGGGGTCCGGGACTAGTCTTCCCCATAAAGAAAAGGGCTCCCTATATTTCCCCTTAAAACATCACCCCAAGGGATACTCACCTTTCATGGGCCAAAAAGGTGATGTTTAAAATCGCCAAAAAGGGAAATATAGGGACCCCATAGGGAAAATGGAGCCATACCACCGAGTTCCAGGGGTGAAGTCTCCTCCCCCAACCATCTCAGGCTTCAAGCCGGCTTCCGTGGCCCAGGTTGGAGTCTCTAGCTGCACTTGGGGCTCTCATCTCATGATCACAGCGCCTCTCCACGTAGGGTACGCCCTCATATGAAAAAGAAACATCAGGCGTTCTGGGAGAAACAGCAGGGCGTAGAACGAGTCAACAAAAAATGAGATGGTCAAAATAGGGTCCGATTTACCTGGGGATGTGGGTTTCGATGGCTTGTTAGCACTTCCTGAGTGGATTGGCTCAAAATACTTCCTAGTCCGAGCTGCGTGGTTCTCAGACTGCCTTTCAAACCCGAGAAGCATCAAACAGCCCGCAATGCAGTACCATGACTGCGTGGTTTAATCTGATTCTTTTGACAGCCATCAACAGCTCAGGGTCCAGTACAGGGTCCAGTACCCTGCATTTGCTTAAGTCCAGCCAACAAAAAAAACAACATATGTCCAGTAGTGATAAAATCCTTTAAACACCAACAGGGGAAAATATGTAAAACATAGTCGTAAGCAAATGGAAGTTACAAGAGGTCAATCCAGCCAACTCCGCAGAACAAAAAACACATGCAAGGCATTAAAGCCAAAAGCGCTGCAAACGGTCTCTGGCGCATTGGGGCAGCCGGTTGCTTTCTTTCGCGGGCCGCACATGCGGCAAACGCATCTGCAGGATGCGCATCGATTCAACGGCCCCTACCGAGCGGAGTTCCGATGGACGAACTGCCGATCGCGACTATTGCGATACCATCTCCATTCGCCGCCGCAGTGGCAGCTCGGCAGTTAAGCAAAAGGACCCCCAATCGAAACTGTATGCTAATTACACACTGGGACTGCTTAAAAAACGGTCCCAAACTTGCTGAGTAAAGCGTCAAACTGACGGACCTGTGAATATGGCCAGCAAACAGTTGCAGGCTTGACCCGAAAAGCAGGCCGATGACGTCTGCACTGGCTCCCGAAAAGGTAAAAAACAGTGAGACTCACTAACCCGAAAGCTCAGCTCACGATTATGGCATTGTAAGGGCCTAGAGTCTGCATGACCCCTAGAAAAAGGGGTCACCCCTTAATTTTGGGTAATGACCAACCATTTTTAGGTCAGAAGGAGACCCCAGGGGGCTAAATAATCAGTGGACTGCCAAATTTCATTGGTCAGGTCAGTTCGTTCGGGATTTGGGTGTTTTAAGGTCCTAAAAAAGAATAAGGGTTTTTTACTCAAACTTAAGGGTTTGCCAAAACCAAAAAAATAGACAAGCCCAGATTTTGCAGCAAATCTCAAAGTGTACTATTGCTGCCAGTTTCCTCGAAACAAGAATCAATTTGCTTGCTTCCCAGGGGACCGCGCCGTTTCTGCGCGCTAAGCCTTATGGGTATCACAGCTTGACGCGCCTGCTGAAAGGGGTTTGGGGTCATCTAAACAGAAATGAGTCTTGGCCGCCAAGAGGAAAGGGCTTGAACTGTTTTTTCGGGAAAAACTTAACTATGAAACCGCCTCTTCTGTATGAGCAAAATGCGTTGTGTTGGATCCCAAATTCTGCTCGTATTTTGGCAGATTGGGCTTGCGCTTGCGGCAATTGCGAGTTTTCACAAAGAAAGCAGTGATCTGCAACAAATCCTGCATGGGCACATTTTTTGGGTTCTGGCCACACACTACATAATACGGAGCAGAACGTGTTTTTCTGCGTAGGCGTTTCTCAGAGGCCCCAGGTTCCTCGTAAACCAACTCCGAACAAACTTCGACCAACTTCCGAGCGAACTCCGAACTCCGAATGAACTCCGAACAAACTCCGAGCAAACTCCGGACAAAACTCCGAACGAACTCCGCACGAACTCCGGGCGAGCTCGGAACAAACTCCGAACAAGCAAACAAGCTCCGAGCAAGCTTTGTCATTGGTTGACTTCCGAACAAACCCCCGAGCCAACTCCGAACACACTTTGGCGATAAGCATGTTTTTGAGCCTAAGTATTTTGGTGGTCAAACTGTTTTGGTTGCCTTTTTTCGGGCTTACCAAAAGAGGCCAAGTGATTACAGGGGCCAGTTTCAACAAGTGGCCTGGGAAGGCGTTCAGGGCCGGATTTGTAGGACTTCAGAGCTGCGGAGGGCTAAAATCGCTACCGGGGTGATCACGCAGCTTGGTTGACGCTGAGGCTCGCTGTTGAAGCTGAAACAAAGCTTAATCTGTTTGATCAAGGCTTAATCCGAATATTATTCCAAAAAAAACAGCTTAAGTTCAACACCGGTGTTGAACTTAAGGGTTTGCCCGATTTGTGTAATGGCTTGCCCGATTTTGGTCGTATGAAATAGCTGTTTTCTTGCATGAAAAGCCTGGATTAAGCATGTTTCAATGTTTTTTTTGCCCTGGTAACACTAAATTTGTACGAAAAACGCATCAACAAGCTGTAATTCCAGTGTTTTTGTACGACCAAAACCCAACAAGTTCAACACCGAAAAAAATAAGCTCCAAAAAAAACTTAAGGCCAAAGTTCGTTCGGAGTTCGTCCGGGGCAAGAATTAAGCCCCGAAAAAAAATAAGCAACAATCACAGCCTGAAAAAAAAAAAAACAAGCAATAAAACAAAACAAAGCCGAAAAACTGAAACTTAAGGCCGAAACACAAAAATCAGCTCCCCCAAAGAAAAATATGGCCAAAGTTTGTTTGGCGCTTGTCCGGGAAGTAAATCCAGCCCGAAACATACGTAACAGGAAAATCAAATGACCAAAAGAACTAATTTCAACAAGTGGCCTGAGAACATGTTTGTTTGCCTCAAAAAACACCTTCCCAGGCCACTTGTTGAAACCGGCCCCTGTAATCACTTGGCCTCTTTTGGTAAGCCCGACAAAGCAAAAAGAACAGCTTGGCCACCAAAATGCTTGGGCTCAAAAACATACTTATGGCCAAAGTGTGTTCGGAGTTGGCTCGGGAACAATGCCCAAGTTCGCTCGGAGCTTGTTCGCTTGTTCGGAGTTTGTTCCGAGTTCGCCCGGAGTTCGTTCGGAGTTTGTTCGGAGTTTGTCCGGAGATTTTTCGGAGTTTGTTCGGGGTTCGTTCGGAGTTCGTTCGGAGTTTGTTCGGAGTTCGTTCGGAGTTCGTTCGGAGTTTGTTCGTTCGGAGCTTGTTCGGAGTTGGTTCACGAGGAACCTTGGGCCTCTGAGAAACGCCTACTAAGAAAAAACACGTTCTGCTCCGCATTATGTAGTGTGTGGCCAGAACCCAAAAAATGTGCCCATGCAGGATTTGTTGCAGATCAGTGCTTTCTTTGTGAAAACTCGCAATTGCCGCAAACGCAAGCCCAATCTGCCAAAATACGAGCAGAATTTGGGATCCAACACAACGCATTTTGCTCGTACAGAAGAGGCGGTTTCATAGTTAAGTTTTTCCCGGAAAGCAGTTCAAGCCCTTTCCTCTTGGCGGCCAAGACTCATTTCTGCTTAGATGACCCCAAACCCCTTTCAGCATGCGCATTAAGCTGGCTTACCCTTAAGTTTTTTTGGTGTTGAACCGAATTCCCCACGCAAATTGGCACAGTGGACTGGCCCAAAAACCTCCGAGCTTCTCGTTTCCGACTAAAGTCCGGGAACTCAGGGAGCGAGATAGCATGATATGCCAGGCCTCCCTCCAAACCCCTCGATCGAATTCACAGACTCACTAAACCGATGGCAACACAAGGGGATACCCCAAATGTCCCATTCGAATTTGCAGCCCCTTATCTCACTTCCTGAGTGGATCCGAACAGAAAAAATCATGTTCTGAACATCCTTTTTCCCACCAAAATGGTCCGAACCCCAAAAGTGATTCTAAAGTCCGAAGCAGAACTCGGGAAGTGAGTTATATTTCAAGCTCCGGAAAAACCACGGGCAGCAGCGGGCCAGTGGGTAAGGCCATCTTTGGGTCCGACTCCAACTCGGTGGGCTCAAATTCCTTGAGCTCCTGCGCGTGGCCCAAGGTATCAACCCACCCTTCCCCGAGAAATGTCTATGCCCAGTGACCTGAAAATGCAACAGGCGGCTGGACAGAAACTATTGAAACTACAACTTGCGGTTACCTTTTTGGAAGGGAGAGCTTCCCTGCAAGTGCAAGGTGACCCTCCCACTGACATGGCACCCCTTGGGAGGGTACCTGGGGCTTCCAGCTTCCTCTTGGAGGGACCGGGTCCCTCGGTGCCATGGGGGTTCAACCCCTCAACTCCTGGCGCCCGGTCATGCAGCGCTTGGTTCTTCGCCAGTCGGGGCCATACCTAGCAACGTGGTCACCGGCCTTTTTTTCCCGCGTTTTCTGGGGTCGTGGTGTTGGTGTTCTGTTTCTGGATATGATCAAAGTCAGAAAATGGGTTCTCTTGTTTCCCTTGAACCTACCACTTGGGTGACTTACTGTGGGTGGGCAAAATCCTGCACCACTTTCAAACCATGGGCAACCATTGCCCGTTGGTATTCACAGGGAATCATCATTCCGCGGATTCTTAGGTGGTGCGAGAAGCGGATTTCGTCCAACCATCCAGTAGATTCCCTCAGCCACCCGGGAAATAAACCCCAGAGTCTTAAACGCACCTGGAAGCCCAGGAGCAGAGTAAGAACCCGAAGCCTTCACTCTGAGCATCGCTTCCCTCCAAACGTCTTTTCCACACCAGGGCTGTGGGAAACGACCACTTCTGTGATACAACAAAAAGGGCTTCTCAAAGACAAACCTGCCACATAAAGAGGATAATCCCTTGTATCACAGAAGTGGGGAAACACTCCATGATCCCACAACCCTGTTCCACACACACACACACACCCAAATAAATCATTAGTGTATCAATCCTGCACGCACGGAACCTGGGGAGGGCTCCCGGAAGACCTGTTTTCCTCTACGGGAGGCCTTCGGGTTGGGTTGCGAATCGGTGAGAGGGTAAATGAAGGAAAAGGGTCAACCTGACCAAATCCCGCAAAAACTTGGCCTACCAGTCGACGTTGTCTTCCATTTGGCTTCGCTTGAAACACCAAAGGGGAAATGGGACTGCTGAATCTGGGCAAATGAACGCATGTGTGTGTGTTTCCATTTAAGCCCTGCAAACAGGGGTCGGGGTCCCCCCAAAACAGGCACACCCATATTCAAACCCCGGAAGTACGGAACCCCATCAGGGACTTTTACACCTCGAATTGATTGTGTTTTTCTTGGTAGAATCTGTGGAAATACATCGAGATCTGTCGGAACCCCCACTCGCTTAAAGATTCCTGAATTTGTTGGTAAGTCGGTTCATGGGAGAAATATCCTCAGTGGCCCTTGCAGAAAAAGTGGCCGATAGGGAGAAGCCCCGCGTAAAGAGAGATTCCTGGTATTGGAACAAAGCAGGGGCACCTTTTGAAACAAAGCCGCGAGATTTGATCCTTATGGGCAGGAGTCCCGCCCCATTTGAAAATCTACACGATTTGATCCTCGAGCTTTCCAGCATACCGTTTCCGCATACCCAGCATGTTCTGTGAACGGAATCCTCATGGGAGTCCGGGGGTATGCTCCAGATGTTCAAAAGTTCTTGACTTTGACCATATCTTGGCCCAACAATACCCCCAAAAAAAACCTGGTTAAGTTAAATAGATTTAGGGAATTTAGGGCTCAAGTTCTTGGGTTTGACCATTTATATGTTGGCCCAGCAATCAGTCGGCCCCTGGTTGAGTTAGGTCTAGTGGCCGTTCCATTTTAGGGGGGGTCCAAAGAACTTTTCAGGGAAGAACCCTTTTCATCCGAAAGGTCAACAGCTCCGATTAGTCCTACAGAACGACCTGAACAATTGCGAAAGAAGGTGTGTCTACTGTAACAAGGATGATGCGGGGCGCAAAGGCAGAAATAACTTTTGAATAACCATAAGTCGTAGAATATGGGGGTGACACCTCATTGGGTCATAGCAATCAAACCGCTTCGCTAGCCTTGTGCCCAAAACTGGTGGACATGTCATCCTATCTCACAGGGGGGTTGGTGCAAGGAGGTGGGTAGTTGATAGCCCTGGGGTTCTTCAGGGTTTCCTGAAGTTCCACAAGGTTCCTTTGGCGAGCCCCAGGGAAACCCCCCCCTTGGAGGTTTTCGCCCCCTGGCAAAACCAAAAAGACAACCTCCAGTAGTGAAACCGATTCTCTTCAAAACCAATCAGGGAAAATACAAAATATTCGTTTCAGCAAATGGAAGTTAGGGACTCCGTAACTTTGATAAACTTTAAAGTTCCTTAGGGTTCCTTAGGTTTACCCTCAGCGTTCCATCGGGTTTCTTGGGGAGCCTTAGTGAACCTCCCTTGGACAACCCCTCCAAGAGCCAAAGAAGCAGCGCGCGATCTCTACCTACGGGTCCTGGAGTGAATTCCCCTGACCTCTTGGCCCCATCTCTCACCCCTTTGTTTTTGCGTTGCCACAGACCCCAGGGTTCCCCGTTGCCCAGAGGCTCCAATTCGAGGGATTTAGGGCCTTGAAACAACCTGGTTTTGAGACCGGGTCCCAAACACCGAAGCGGGGTGTCCAATGGAGGGGCCGGGTCTTCCATTGAAAGCCCCAGGAGCCTCTGGGTGAAAACATCACCACCAACAAAATCGCAGCCCCTTCTCTCTCCAGGCCACATCTTGTCGAGGTAGGCCTCCGGATCCGCGGGCACAGCCACCCAGCTCTCCCCGAAGCGCGCGAAGCGGGGCTTCAGCGGCAGCAGCTCGTCCCTTGGAAAGGCCGGGGGGTAGCACTGCGCATTCCGAGATTGACAATCTGTTCAACAAAAACCGCTGACATGATGTCAAATCAAACATTGAAAGATCAAATGGCTGTGTATGTACAAGTGAGCATTCCAAGATTGCAATATTTCCAGCTTAAAAACCACTGAGATGATGCCAACATGCAAAAAATGGGGAAGGAGTTTTGTTCAAATGGCTGTACAGGGGCTGCGCTTGGACACCTGTACGTCGCATCGTGTTTTTGTTGATGGGAGAATCAGCTAGCGAGCCCGGGGGGATTATTTGAATATTTCTACTGGTGGTGTTCTACCACTTAGTAGGTTTGTACCATGCATGGTTATGTTTCCATTGGCGTTCTTATTCCCGGGCAAAAAAGGGGAATAGTTTTCCAGTAGTGATGGAATCCCTTAGAAACCAACAGGGGGAAACAAAACATATTCTCGATTCCAACCCTTCATTACCATAATGGCCACAAATTTCCTTATCCATCTTCAGCACCTTTCTGGTGAGTAGCGGGAACCCCGGGTACATATATAAACCCCTGGTCGGGTGTCCCCCGCGGGAATGTGGAGCATTTTTCGGGGGCCAGAAACCCCCCCCCCCCCGTCAATGTAATAGGACGGGGCTATCGATCCGGGTCAACAATATTGGGGAACAACCCCCAAGTTAATTCCTACTAAGTTGGTTCATCCAAGTCCTGGATGGCTCCCAGAGCAAAAAGATGGTGGTTGGGCAAGATGCAAGACATGAGCAATCGGCAACTCACTGAAACTTTAATTTTGGGTCATGGCCCCAAAAGGTTTATCTTTAGTCCTGGGTCCTTTGGGCAGGTGAGAGGCAGGTTCAAAACTTACTTCACTTGCCCAAAGCTGTAGACCTTTTGGTCTCCTTAGTTTGGTTCATATTTGCTCAAGCTTCCAAAAGGTGTTCCTTTTCTTCGGGATCCTTGGGTGTGACCTCGTCAACTTTTGCATTTTGGTCCATGGCCCCGTGATTACCTTCTCCAGCCTTTCGGGATATGGTCGATTCGCTTTGAACTGAGGCGTCCCTTCCAAACAAGTCGTTTCTGATGCGAACCGGGGACAGCTACCTTTGATTCCATTTGGTTAATACCCCTGGAAAAAGAAAAGCATGCCCAGTAGTGATAACCTCCTTTTAAAGCCAACAAGGGGAAATAACACATATTCTTAAGCCAGTCGAAGTTTGCACATCCACCTGCCTGGAACCGTGCACGCCTGCGCAACCCCATCGGCCCACAGGCTGACAGGTGAGCGCCTAACCCAAAGCCGCCCGAAAAGGAAACACCCAAAACCAGGAAGAACGGCCTGATCCGACCCCAGCAAACCGCCTCAAAGACCCACGAACAGCTAGCAACACCAAGCCTTCGAGTCCGTCGTCCCGCGAGTCGATGGACCTAGAGTCTCCTTCTGACCCTGTAAAAATGCTTGGTCATGACCCAAACTTCAGGGGTCATGCCCCCCTGTTTCTAGGGGTCATGACAGAAGGCTCTAGGGAAGTCTTTCTCGCGAGCGGCTCATCCAACTCTAGGGCCAAGTGCTTGATGCGGTCCGTCTCGTATTGCCAATTCCGGTCCTCCACGAAGCTAAAGAGCCTCGCCCGAACCGAGCGAGCGCGGAGCGCGCGAGCTGAACGGGGGTGAGGACCTTTTCTGGAGGAAACCGGCATAGACCCAGAAAGTTCACCCACTTGGAGGGTAAATCTCACGTTGTTTTTTGAGAGGAGTTCTAGGAAAACCAGTGGAAGTAGCATAGACCAAGAAGCTTCACCCATTTGGAGAGGTAAATCTGAACAAATATTTATTGCATACATGGATTGTTAAGAGGATTTCTGGGGCCTCACGTGGATGCCAACGGGGCACATCCAAGATTTCGATGACTTCTGGCCATGTGCTTCTGTTCAGAGGATTTGTTCGGGCCATGTGGATGCGCGGTCCAAAACCAATACCTCTGTAACTTGTTCATTGCTCAATGTAGCCATCAGCATGTCCAATCGAAGCGAAGCACCTCACATGTCGGTTCTCCAATTCTGCTTGCAATCCTGTCAAACATGAACAACGCAGATGAGCATGTCTCCAAAGATGGGGAACTTGTCCGACTCTCATCCACTGGAAAATGCTCTAGGATCCCAAGACCTTCAGTATGAAGGCCTAAAACACCCCAAAAGCACCAAAGGTCTGGGGACCCCATAATGTTAACCCCCCTGCTTGATTAATAGGGGGGTGTCCCCTTTTAGTGGGGATTCATCACTTTTGGAGGGAACACCCCCCTAATAATGGGACAGGTTTATTAATCCTGGGTCAACATTGAGTGGGAATTGAGTTTGCTTGACACCCTAAGTAGTACAAAGCCACGGGTTTAAAGTTTAAGGTCTGAACTTTTTGGAAACGGAAGACAAACCACTGGGAGAAACGTCGAAATATCTTGAGCCGTAGCCAAAAAGACAGCGATCCCTGGGGCCAAGCAAAAAATGTTTCAGGAAACTCCTTGCAAGAATGAACAGGAACATGGTTCCAATCAACCACTTGAACTAAAGGCTCAATCAAGTGACATCCCCTAATAGCTCTCTGCTAACATGTCGAAACACGAAACATGGGGAACTTCAGGATAGGTCACCAGCGCTCACAAGGTCCCTTCTACAGACCCGGCCCTAGAAATATTCACATCTCATCCACCGCCTTTTTCGAGTCCGAACATGTCGACGCCATGAAGACAACCCCAGAAGGGGGTCCCTTTTTAGCGCTTGGATTCTTATGACTGGCTTGATTACCTGCGGCCCCTTGGAGCTACAGTTGGGGCCCCTTGGACACACCGTTGAGAAAAAAACAAAGTGTTTCTACCTCCGTTCGGTTGATTTACACTCCGGAACGATTTTTGCACACTGCCTGCCAGACGCCTCGCAACACGCTTCCGCGGGGAAAAAGCCGCTTTCGAGCGGAGTTGTCCACTTCGAACGGCCTCGAACGGAATTCAACTACACATCCGAACGCAACTGGAACGAAATGTGAGCGCAATGGAATGCAATTTGAACGTAGTGTGCAATTTGAACGCAACCTGACAGCATAATAACAAGTAAGCTGATTACTCAAGCGCACACAGAATAGTACTCGAACGGATTTGAACGGGTAAAAATGTCCGGTGTTGTACTTGTTCCCACACTTTTGCCCAGAAACTGGTTTTTCCAAACCAGCGTGAAAAATATCAACTGAAAGCACAGGTATCTTCAACGGTCCAAACTGTTGCGGCTTTAATTCGGAAGACCCGTTAATTACCCCAAAAAAACACCCATTGTCGAAGGATTCGAGGGGCACAAAGATGTGGAGGTCCGGCTGCGCGTCCACCTTGTTATTCTTGGCCCCCACCCCCCGGTGCACGATGGTGCCGTGCCGGCCCTGCCTGCAGCCCAAAAAAGCTGGGCGAAAAAACGGGGATGTCGGGAGGGAAACGGACCAAAAACCTGTGGAAAACTCACTTCCTCAGTGGATCGCCCCGACAAAAAGCCTGAACTGCTCATTCACCACCAAACTGGTCTTCCCAAAAAGCTTCAAGTCCAGGAACTCAGGACAAAACGGGGCTTGGAACACAGAAGCAGAAGAAGAAACAAAGGAAACACACAAAAGGAGAACACAAAGAAGAAGACAAAGCACAACCGGGGAATTCAGGAGTAGAATTGAATTCCCCACCCCGATCACCAATGTCTGGATCTAAGATGCACGTGACCAGTACTCATGTTCATATCTATTTGCTCGTTCCTATTGACTATCCTATTCATGTCTTCACTTCACCAGTGGATCGGCAACCAACAAAAAACTCTTGAGTTCCGATTGTTTTTTTTTTTTTTTTTTTACATTGCTAATCAGGGAATGGAAAGGAATGACGTATTGAGCGATGACACCATACTGCTTGTCTCATCAAAACCATGCAATTTCATTATGGTAGGTTCTATATTGTGTTGTTCTGCTTAAATCGTAATTGTGTATTGATCTCTTCTTAGTGGACCTTAACAAGTTAGTAGTCCTCCTGTTGCTTAGATAATTCGCTTTCATGATATCAATATACATACACAATGATATTGAGTGAATCGTGTTCTTTTCAAGGAACCACTTCAGCTGTGTGGCAAGCCTCTAAACCTTTCCTGATGTAGAGAATTCCAATACAAACATAACCGAGACTTGAAACTGGGTGTACTACCCTGCAACATGTGGGGTAGGTAAGGGTGTGTCTGCTAAAATAAGTTAAGTCAAACATGGGGGGTTCCTCTTTTGCATGTCCATTTCCATTTCTTCTTGAGTGGATTGGATAAAACAAGTCTGAACTGGTTGTTTTCCACTAAATTGGTCTTCCCAAAAAGTTGTTTAAAGTCCATGAACTCAAGACGTAAAAAAAAAAAAGAGGCCCCCAAGAAGGCACCCTGAAAAGAACAACAACAAAAAAACAACAACACAAAAGGTACGCATCAAACAACAAGCGGAACAAACAACATGCTGCAGAATGGGCCTCCTGGGCACTATGTGCAGCGATGGCCCCTCAGATTCTTGCATGTTGGGAACTAATCTGATATGCGAATGAACTAACATGCAAATCCATTGCAAAGTGGAATAAACAACCAGGTCTATAACTTGCGGGTCTACGGGATGGCTTCCCCAAGGATTCTCCACCCGAAACAACCAGCCGATAGTTGGGTGACCCTGAATGGGTCCTCCAGTAGAGAGGTAAGAAATAAGGGTACCCTTTTTTCTGTAGTCAATTTTTGTAGGGGAACCCTCCTCCCCAAAAAAAGCGTAGAAGGACAAACCTAATTGCCCATGATCCTAGGTTGCCTTGGGCGCAAATGACCTATATCTGCATCCTTTCGTGGATTCGGACAAGTCTCGTCAGCCAAAATGTGAATGAGGTTTGGACCACCCGCACACCAATGCCGTACATGTCAAGGCTGCAGCAAGGCGTGCCAAACTTGACGCGGCACCAACCTCTTGGTTTTGATGCTGGGTTTCGTACTGCACAAATCTCCGCTGTGCGTTGAGATGAACATACAACTCTCACAGCCCAGCATACCGAACTTGGTTTCCCGCCATGGCCCTTTGTAGTTTTAACGGGCCCTGCTTTGGTATCACTGAAGGTCACAAGCTAGAACTCATCTCTGTGCAAGTTCCACACCCAGTCTGAAACCTAAAATAGGGGACCCAAGCTTGTCGCTAGGCACAGGTATATCCACAACCATGCCGCACAAACCATGGCCATCCCTGCGATGCGCCTCCAAATGGTGAACAGGTTTTGCACCTCAGGGTTCAGCGGAAAAAAAAAAGAAAGTGGGGCCGGAGAAAAGGCAGGAGGGGGCATTCATCAAGTCCGGGCTCTGAGCAATACCTCCAATTGCTCAAGCAAACCCAGGAAGAAACCATATGTCCAGTAGGAAACTCAGAAGGGCAAACGAAACTGTGGAAGCGTTTCTGGATTGCTCTCTCTTTTTGTCGCTCCTTTTTGTCTTTTTTCGAGGGGATGTGTGGGTCTGAAAGGAATGCGGGGGGTTGGCGTCCATTTTGAGAACCCAAAGGAGGAAGACCCAGGACGCCGAAGAGAGCTTCAAAAACTGCTCCAAAGGCTCCCGGTTCTGCCAGCCACATGTCTAGGGGATATCTTTATACCTAGAAGACCCCCGGAGAGGAGAATGAGCTTCCCGCTTTTTGTTTGCTGTAACGACCGACTTTGTGTTGGTCGTTTCCATCAAAAGAAGCCTTTTACACGGGGCTGTGGGAAACGACCACTTCTGTGATACAACTAAAAGGGCTTCTCAAAGACAAACCTGCCACATAAAGAGGATAATCCCTTGTATCACTGGAGTGGAAAAACCCCTTGATCCCACAACCCTGCTCTTACAGGTATACGTATTGTGTATGTATGATTTGCTGAACTTTAATGTGTGGGGCACCCAAGTCCAAAGTGCCGGCGACCCATGACCACAACTGCAGCCAACTGGTTCTCAGTAGGGAATCAAGAAAGGGGCTTGGGAATGAACCGAAAGGGGATCCCTTCAAAGGAAACCACAACACATTGCTTGCCGAAAAGGAAGAACCAGCTAAGTGACTTGATGGGCAAATCCCTTGTTTTAGCCCTAACTCATTTCAACCTAGAGTCTCCATGACCCCTAGAAAAAGGGGTCATGACCCCTTAAATTTGGGTAATGACCCCATTTTTTAAGGGTCATGGAGACTCCAGGAAGAGGCCCAGAAATTTAGGAGAAGTCATGCATGGGCGGGTTTTCCGTCTGCTGAACCCGGGGGGGAACACCTGTTTTTTCTCGCCTTGGCTAGGGGATTACTGAATGCGGACACCGGTATTCCTTGGTTGACATTGGGTTTGGGGAGCAACAATTCTCAGATTTTAGCACTTGAGTGGGGGATTTCCACCACTAAACCACAATAAGCAACATGTAACATATTTCCCAACAACAATGATGATTGGGGGAAGTGGGAGCCCAGCACAGGCATGCACTCCAAAACGAACAACCCCGAAAACGGTGCCGAGGCAAAAAGACAGGTCATACCCCTTCGAAGCAACCCCAACAAAAATAAACTAAAAGACACACCCTACAGTAGCCTGACATAAGGTATCTCTTGTGCACCCCGCATCCCAGATCTCAATGTTGAAATGTCAGCGATGACTTTCTGTTAGTGGGGTTTGAATTGTTTTGTCCACTGGGCCCTTGTCCCTGCAACACATTCTAACTGTGAGATTTGGGGGTGGGGGGGAGGTAGATTCATATATATATATATACATATTCAAGGGATTGAATATTTGGTCCATCTACGGTAAATCCGCGTATGTCCCAAAGCTCCAGGGCTTCCGGGCCGGCAGGAAGTCCATGACCAGGCCATTCCGCAGCATCGCCAGCTGCAAAGGGGCGCTGGTGAGCTTGTGCAGGTCGAAGGAGAAGACCGTGAGATCCGCGTCACCTGGTTGCGAGAGAGGTGGGCAGGGGAACACAAATCTGGTTTGTCTGTTCCCTTGACTGATTCCACTTTCTGGGTTTTCTAGCAAAACCAAGGGAACCACCCTTTAAAAACCACGAGAAACAATCTTAGGGCGGACCTATTTTACATACTGCAAATAAGGGAGCCAGGGTTCCCTAAACCCGTATTCTGGTGTTCCGGGCTTGGTTGGAAAATGTTTGCCAAGTGGTACTGTGGATGGTGGTGAAATCCGCATTTCGGCACCACCGTTCAGAAACCCTGCTTCATCATTCGATTCCCAACGTAAATACCAAGAAACAATACCAAGAAACGTTCGAACGTTCTTTTGTCAACCATGGCTTGGTGCGTTCCGGGTGGGTAGTTGAGAGCCCCTTTTGGGTTTGTTCAGGGTTCCCCGGGCCCTTCCGGGTGGAACTTCATAGCAAGCAAAGGACCGAAGGCCCTGCCGAAGTCCCCCCAATTGATGTGGAGCCGCTCGAAAAAAAGTCGAACCCCACCAATACACGCCTGAAAGGGCAATATGTACACTATGACCTCCACATCGTACAGCGTAGAACATACAAAATCATGCCATCATGTGCCCTCTCTCCCACTAACTGCACCTGACAAGGGGTCCCCCCAAGAGGAAATAGATCTTCCAGGTACCCCCCCACCCCCACAGGTGCTGGGAGGTGGAAGGGAGGGAAAAACAACACAAATAAACCCCAACACGTGCAAGCATATTGCCATCAGCTCTAAAACAACATCATAAACAAACCCTCTATAAGTTGCAAACCAACCATCCAGTACCTGAAACTTCCTCATTCCCCGCCCAGCGCTCGCGCCAGGCGCGCCACTCTCGTCAGAAGCGAGGCGCAGTCGTAGGGGATGAGGCCCTGATGGCGGATGGCTCCCAGGAGAGACCCGTGGGAGGCGAACCACTGCACGCCGAAGTGCGTGAGGATCTCAGCCACCGAGTCCATAAGACCTGAGGGACGGGACCACCCGGGCGAGGGGCGCCCGCTAAGATAGGCTTCTGAATCTCACTGCCATAGCCCCCCTTGAGCAAAAATACAGGGCGCGGGGGGGGGGGTACCTAAAGTACAGAGATTTCTGTGTAATTACTTTTTGGGATGCAGGCCTATTATGCCCTGCCCAGTGATGGGCCAAACAAACTCCACACTTTTCGTTTGCCAGTCTTGCTACAAAGTTTGAAGTCCAGGAACTCAGGAAGTGAGGAATAGGAGACGTTGGGGGAAGGAGGGTGGGGTCCCCAGGCAAGTCATATACTTGTTGAGGTCTTCCTCAAAGGGAAAATGGATCTACAGGTCGTCCAACAGAAAACTGGGAACCAAATCCCAGGGCCAGTTCTCATCAGTAACTCAGTGGGGACCTTGAGGCGTTTGTTCAAAGCCCGGAGTTCATGGGGCGTCAGAAGTAGCACAAATCCCAATGTAGGGCTTCCGCCCTAGGGGTGCAGGATTTGGTCGAATCAAAACCTGGAGCACGTGAGGCCGAGTCACTTGGCTTTCACACCAAAAACCGGGGACACGCCCGTGCTAAAATAAGCAATAAACGGGTTTGCTTTTAATCCGAGGTCAACATCAATGCCCGCGTACAAATTTGTCCAAAGGGACCACTCCAAGCCCCACGCGCCCGAGCCCCAAGGCTCACAAGGCCGGCGGATTGCCGGCGGTTTTGTGCTTCGTTCGAGGCATTTCGAGGCCGAGGTGCGGTAGATCTCCAGGGCCTTGTGGGGGCTCACCGGCTCCAAGTTGTGCTTCTCCCCGCACTCTTCGGCATCTTCCGGCCCTGGAGAAGAGCGAAACCAGCGAGAGGAGCTGGCCGGCTCCGGACGTTTTGTTGTGTTTTGTTTTTTTTGGGGGGAAACCATCCGAGGTGTCGATGTGTGGCTCGAATCGATCGCACTAAAGCGTGCATAACATGGGAGTGCCCTACAAATTGGAGGGGGCACAGCCTTCCTTGCTGCCTTGTAAAGAGCACAACAAGAGGAAACAAACCAGCTCTTTGCGCACACGACATTTGCTCACGGTTGGGCTGCGGCAAAAACGCAGAGCTTAACGCAGAGCTTCAAGACTTCCTCAAAGGATACATCCCAAACAAATCCTGTGAGATGCGGTTTCTCCTTCCTGGTCTAGGTCCTCCAGAAGAGAGGTTAGAATAAGGGAACCAACTTTTTCTGTAGTCTATTTTCGTAGCGGAACCTTCAAAAAGGGTAAAAGGGCACTACTGGGGTGAATTTTGACAAAGCCAACTGTGTCTAGTGATGTCCAAACGCCATGACCCAAGAGGAAACATGTGGATGTCTGAAAACTTTGCGAGTATACCAAGCCCACTTACACACGGAACCATGCAAAGTCACGGTGAATTCGGACAAAAATCGGGGAGTCCAAACTGCTGCTCCTTTTGCAATATGGGAATATGACATCAACCGTACCTATGACCGCTGGGCTGTTCAAAATGCCAGCAACTCCGCCGTCCATCCCCAGCAATTCGCCTGCCTTGGCCAATCCGAATCCATACTCCCCCTGGGGAATCCACTACAAACGGAACTCCTTGCGTAACCCAAGGATTGAAGATGAAGGATTACATTTGAAGAGCCCAGGGCTGGTATTTTGCAGGGGACGCATCAGAAACCAGGGCTTCTAAGGTGGTGTGGAATGGATTTCGCAACCATCCACAGTAGGCAACCCTTCGATCCATGTCCCTCTTAGTTTGCATATCGGGTAGCAAGCCCTTGGTTTGCACAAAACAAGGGGCATGCCATGTTCCTCTTGGCTTTTAACGGGTAATTCTCGTGGTTTCCTAGAGAACCAACAAAACGGACTCACTCAAGGGAACAGAGATTCAGAGTATTGTTCCCATGTTCCCTCTAAAAAAAAAGTCAAGGCGCTCACGAGCTTACAGGCTCCAGACCTATCCATTGTGGAAATACCCCTGCGGTACCAAACGACTTCCATCGCTTGAGAGTTGGCTCCACAAACATCTTCCAGGACCTTGCAGGCCATTGACCCACTTGGAGACCAAACCATTGACCCACTTGGAGGCAGAACTCTTGGAGGCCAGGCCATTTGACCCACTTGCCACGCGCCAGTGTTTAACGCATTCGCCCCCGCCTGGGTAGTGTGCATATGCTTTCTGCTCTTCCGCGATGGAGGCGAAGGGTATGGCTTCTGCATCCGAGCGCCCTAAGGAATCAGCTCAAGCCCAGCGGTCGCTGCGACCCAGATTGCCACGCTACGTCGCTACGGTGGATGGACGAAATCCGTTCGCATCACCTGAGAAGCCATGGGAAACCACAGTTTGTTTGCATTTTACAGCGGAATCATCACTCCGGGCTTCCTAGGTGGTGCAGGATTTCGTCCATCCGCAGTACGTCTTACTTCCTGAGACTGGCCACAAGTCCTGGAACTTGTCATGTACACTGAGAAGCTGAATTCAACAAACGCACCTTGGAGAAAAAAACAGGTGGGGTATTCAGGTCTGCTGGAGAGTACCACCAGACTGGTCTTCCCACAAAGTTTCTTTGTCCATGAGCTCAGGGCGTGAGAAGTGGATCTTTATCAGGTTTAACTCCACGTGAATGGGGGGCTAAGTGGGTTACCACCGAGTGGCTATCAACAACTTCCTGGCACCGAACACCCGAGTGGACTTTTGCGAGAGGCTGGGTAGCTCAAAATAACGGGGGGGTTCCCGAAAGGAAAACCACTGCCATCTGGCCGGAAGCTTAAAGCTGGAAAGACTGGTCCTGCAGGAACAGTACTAGTTCCAAGCATCAACTTGAATCCAAGCCCAGCAGAACAAACAGTGAAGCACGAAGATCATGAAGTATGATTATGTGAGGACGGAATCGAAGAATGCTCGGCACGTTGCTCCAAGGGGCGCCTGAAGCTTTCAACTGAGTGACATGAGCCATGATCAACACTTTCGATCGCCGCAAAGGACATGGACAATAGAGCGAGCCTTGTTTTTGTTGTGAAGTTTAGTGAGCCCCCCCATGTTGTTCAGAATGGACCATACAGACTAGTGGCTATGAATGGTGGATGAAACCTCACATATCTGCGATTGCTCGGCTGCAATTTCACGCTGAACCCAAACCAAACCGTCTCTCTCTCTCTCTCTATATCTCTCTTTTTTCTTGGTTTCTCTCTCTCTCTCTCTGTCCAGCATCCTCGACCAGGTCTTGTCTCGCGTTCAGCAAGGAGTCCTGTTTCCAGTAATTTTGCTGCGATGATGGATTAGGATTGGCCAAGCCTCCATTTTGAACAGCCTACATTACTAAGCAAGCTGCTTTGGCTTAAAAAAAGCTTTCCAACCCTGTTTCAGGATCCAACGTCTTATTGGGAACCCCGCTCAACCCAGATCAGGGTTCCCAAGTAAAGGACCTACATCACGGCGATCGAGCTCCTTTGACCCCCAAAAAGGATGAGCCTGCCCTAAAATTGGCAGCAAAAGCCTCCATTTGCTTAAGCCCCTCGGAAAAAATGGAAAACCGACCCCCTTTAAAACCAACAAAAACAAATAAAGCAACCCACCCTGCCGTCCATGGAACCTATCAGAGGGTCCCCTTTGAAGGAAAAGAGTCTTCCAGGCCTCCCCTTCCCCTCCGTCAGCTTCCATGTAAATTGGTGGGAGGGTATTCCTTTCAGCCAAATGAAAGAAACATCGAGCAACAGCTCGCAGGTGCCTTCGCAGGTGCCGAGTGGCCCAGCGCAAGTTGCGGATCATGGAAGTACTCCAGACTATGCAAGCGCATGATGGGGTGCTCCGCCTCCGATTGGGCGTAAGTTTTAGTCAGGGACCCTCTGGTGGACATCATTTAGGTGGGTTTTTTTGTCCACAAACCACTTTCCACGGGTTCCTTATTTATAATCATAGCCAAGTTTGTTCAGCGGGTTTTTGCGCAGAAAAAAAAAGCAAATTCTAAGGAGAAACTTGAACGGACACTCTCAACATTCCGTGTCACTTCGTTGTTAAAGGTAGGGAAGGAATACGCAAACGCTGCAATTTCCGGTGAGATATGATAAGCTTCCTGCAAGTTTCTCAAGCTAGCCTTGCGCTCGGCCAGGATCCAAAGCGAAGGGTGGTCCATATCTGCGGGCCTCATGGTTTGAATATTGGAAGCCTTGACTGGAGACGCCCCTTTTGTCAGCCAACTGCTGACCCGCTCATTCGATAAAAACGCCCCCTCCAACTTCTCAAAGGATCCAGAAATGCAAGGGGGTTAAGCTTTTGGGGCCATGCCTAAACATACACCGAAAAGAGGGAAACTAAGAGATAAAACGGTCGATTCGCTTTGGGCAACTTTCGGAGCCCAAAGGTCGACCCAACAGGAAACCAAGGTCCGTTCAGTTTCAGACCATTAACATATATTCGACCCCGGGACAATCAACCGGCGGATTGGCGAAGTGAACCGAGTGCTCACTTGCCCAAAGGACCCAGAAGTGAAAGGTCAACATTTTGGGGCCACAAGTAAAAAAGGACAAACCAAAAGATCCACAGGTCGGTCTTGAACAACTGAGCCACTAAATGTGCTCCAGGGTGAAATTGGATGTCGCAATTCCCGGTGGGGAAGGCAAATGGCGAAACCAACATGGAAAGCATTGTGCCATCTACCTCCATTTGCTCAAGTCCCCCGGAAAAAACAATAAATAATCATATTTCCAGTAGTGAAATGGTTTCCCTTTAAAACCAACAGGGGGAAATAGAGAGAATGTTCTTTTCAGCCTATGGAAGCACCTTTCTGTTGCCCGCAAAGACCAGCCAAGAACTCTCAAACGCTACCTGGAGTCTCCATGACCCCTTAAAAATGGGGTCAAACCCAAGAAACAAGGGGTCATGACCCCCTTGTCTAGAGGTCATGGAGACTCTAGGTAGGACTACTTCTCGTCCTGGCTTCGGTTCCCGAAAAAACGGTGCCAAACGCGCCCATTTCCGCCGAGGGGCCATCAAGTGCAGCAGGCCGCACCTCACGCAATGGGGGCCCATTGGCATCCATGGGGCCCATTTCCCACGTATAGATATTCTAGGGGTAACTTCCCCATTCTTTCCAGGGATCCTTGTTCCTAGTTATCTCACACATAAAGTATGGGCTCCTACCACAGGTTCATATCTATATCAGTGCGGTTTCCATTGGACTCCGGCACAAGTTCGTAGCTAATGGGCAAGCCTGGCCGAGTGAAAAGCCAAAGGAAACCGTTCACCAATTTTCCACCCAATCTTTAGGAACGGATGGGAGCAATCCTGTTGTGTGCCTGATGTTGCTTTTTCTTTTTCGGTCGAACAAATAGTTGATAATGCCTCACATTATGGCCGACACCAACATGACATGTATCCTCGAATTCACTGTTGCTGGCATGTTGTTTAGAGTTGTTTTTTTGGTTCTGTTCATTGCTAGTAGGTGGCTATATGTTTTGCTACCATAACAAGGTTAGAAGGTTTTGTCCTGGTGTAGGGTTTCCTTTGGTTTGCAAACTTCTCATTCAATATGGCAACCTTACAACTGGTCTGTGACCTCACTCATGGTGCAGCTTGCTTCCGTAGCGCCTCAGGAATTCACCCAGATGTTTGGAAGCTCCCGACTCAAGAAAAGGCAGCGCCAGGTGCGATGAATGGCAGTCGCATGTATCCAGCTAGGTCACCTTCGTTAGCATGGTTGACTTGTCTGCCTCATTCAAACCAATCTGCACGAATTCCCACACTTCACCAAGTTGGAATGAGCAAGTGAGGGACTCTTCTGGGTGAGCTCGCTACGAATCATGCTATAGGAACTGTGCACAATATATATATATATATATATATATATTTGTATATATATATATATATATATGGGTCTTTGTTTGGGGGGAACCCTTTTCACCAGACGCCAAAGGGAAAACCCACCAATTTGGCGATCCTCATTCGAAGACAAACCTATAGCCACCCAGGTTCCACCCTGGGCCTCCTTGAAAGCACCTGAACAAAACACATGCGCAGCCTCGATTTGGGACGCTTGCAAAAGTGTCCTGGCTACTCTCTTCCCGACTGGATTGGCCAAAAAAGCGAACTTAGTATTTGCCTCTCAAACCCCCAAAACTGACTAACGCCCCGGAACTCCGGTCGTGAGGCGCCGCCTGTTAAAGGGGCTACCGAAAAAGTGCCCCTCATTTTGACTACCCAAAAAGTGACTACAGTCCATGGCCTCAGGGGAGACTAAGTGTCCAGCATGGTTCGGAACAGGGACGCCAGCTGGGGAGTTCGCGTGCAGTCCTCCACGCTCTCCTCGGCGAAAGCCAAAGCTCTGGATCAAGGATTAGACTTAGCAAAGGGGTAAACAATGTTTAGAGGCAACTCACCTCTAGCTTTGTTCGGTTCATTGTGTGCACATGACGCCAAAAAAATATTTGTTCCACAACTCCTATCAAACAACTTGTTTGGGCCCAGAAATAAACTTTCTCGGGCCAGAAACTCAGAAACCAACCAAAGCTACACCGATTGTTGAGTGTCCATGTTGACGACGATTTCATTGTTCAACACCTTCGCAAGAAGCAGCCGTAAACAATCTGCCAAGGGTACCCCGCAGAGAGTTATTTGCACTTAATAATACCCTAAACAAAGCTACTAAGGGTGCATTGCCCCTAAACATTGTTTACCCACCTGCTGATTCCAATCTTTGGTCCTATGTCCAGCCTCCTTTTAACATCACATATCAAAATATTGGAGTCATTTGCACAATGATTTCGTATTGACACACATTCTCAAAAAGACCCTCCAACAATATGCCAAGGGTGAAACCACCCACAAAGTCATTTGCACTCAGCCAAGGGCAGCTTTACAAAGTCATTTGCGCAAAGAACACCTACCCTAGATAAAGCCGAGGGTGTGCGAGTGTCTTGCCTAAACATGTGTTTGTTTCCTTTGTTTTACGCCCTGGTTCCAATCGTTGACGCCAAAGTGGCCAGTGGCTTCGCAACACTGTCTCAAATGCCCAGTGGTCATAGACAAAAGGGCATCCGATTTGTTGGTTGGTTCTGCCACATTGCTCAAGACCCCGCCCCCCCAATTGGAGTGAGTGGAGCCCACATGGCCGAAGCCAAAAATCAGGCCGTCCCACTAAGGGGAAGGGCTAAGCAAGAATTAGATCCATTTGATTGACTTTAAAGGGGCACCCTTCCCAAAAAAAGAGGGTTCCGCCACATTGCTCAAGACCCCACCCCCCCAATTGGAGTGAGTGGAGCCCACATGGCCGAAGCCAAAAATCAGGCCGTCCCACTAAGGGGAAGGGCTAAGCCTGAATTAGATCCATTTGATTGACTTTAAAGGGGCACCCTTCCCAAAAAAAGAGAACAAAGGGCACCACTGCCACTGGGGGACTGGGCCACAAACGCAACTCACAAGTTTGGCATGCCCCGAAGTAATACTGCCAAGCTTCCTGGAACCTGATGCATCCATACATTTTCAAAAACAAAAAACACGACTGGGTGACTTCATGGAAATTGATCTACTACAAAAGCAACTCAAAACAAGTATGGTGTCTTTTTTCAATTCGTTCACCTTGGAGGCAAAGTATTGCCTCTTGTTACTTTTCAATAAGTTTATTGTATTGACATTGTTCAAATTGGAACTTGACCACATACAAAACGACAAATTCCCCAGGCACATGCTACTGAGGGCTCCCTGGTTTTCCCCAACATCACCCCGACTTTTGCCTTATAAAAAAGGCCACCTATTGGCAGGAGGCACTGGATGTTCCTAAATCAAAAGCTGATCATTGTACTGGTGGTTTCCATTGAAGCTATCACTTTTGAAGGCATAGGGAAATAGAGAGGAACAAATGTTTACCTGGAAATAATAATACAAAAAAAAGTGAACATCTTTCCAGACCTTTACTAACATTGTGCACCAACAAGGGAAAACCAAATGGTTAAGCTAAAAGGTCGCTCTTGAACAACTGAGCACCACAAGTTGGTCCAAAAAGCAAACAGTGGCCTAAAGGTCACTCCAGAACTAAACTGATACTGTGGATGGTTGCGAAGTCATCCATGAATCGCACCACGAATGGAAACCAGGAAGTTGAGTACCCAGCCTCTTGTTGGTATTTTGGTTGGCATGCCCAAAGAACCCAGAAATACAACCTTGTAGGGCCATGACTAAAAATTGGAACCGGGAAACCAAAAGGTGAGATCCGGGCGATTCCCTTTGGTTGCAACTGGGCAAATCCAAGGTTGATGCATGTTTCTGGCTGCGTCCGTTGACTGAAACTGACACTTTTGAAGGCTCCACAGGGGGAAATAGAGAGGACACCCGGATAACGTTGGTTGGAATCGGGTTTCTTAGACTAGGTCCTCCAGTAGAGAGCTTAGAATAAGGGTACCGTTTCTTTTTTAAGCTGTAGTCTATGTTAGTAGGGTCCCGAACCCTCCCAACCAAAAAAGAAACGGTCAGAGAGGGCACGGCACCAATTGCTGGGGGACCTCCCGGCGTAGACCACCCGGCTCCGACTCGTGGCTCCCGGACGCAACGCAGAAGGAAAATAAACTCTGAGCGGCGCAGAAGGCGCTCTGCAGCATGGCTTGCGCCTCAAAGTGAGGCCGGCGGCTTTTTCTTTTTTTGGTTTGGGGGGGGGGGGGGGGGACGGGGACGGGAAGACTCAGTTCTTGTTCTTTTGTTTTTTGTTCTTTTTGTTGGTTTTTGTTTTCCCCAACAGCTGAAAGCTTTGGGGTCTCAGCCCAGATAGGCTCCGGGGTGGTCCTGGGCGGCCCTGAGGTAAGGCAGCTGCTGACAAGCCAGCAAACTTCGTCTTTTTAACACTAAACTGTCCAAACTCAACAAGTGTAGCCCAGGAACACTGCCAACAACCTGCGAGCCGGCACGTGTGGCTCGTTCTCCCGAGAACGGGTACGAGACCGAGAAATCTCCGTCCGGTCCTCCGCCAGGTAGTGAGTGAAGTCCTGGGTGTGATACGCGTGGACTGCTTGGGTGCGTATTCTTTGTGAGGGCACCCAACAAATCGGGGCTGGTGTAGGGGGAAGCCAACAACGAAAAAAAATGAGGGTTTCTCCTTTGAAAGACAAACCCACATGGTCAGCCCCCAAACACACATATGTTTAAACAACTGATAGCTCCTGATAGTTTAGACAACCTCCCTTGCAAATCACGAAGGCGATGGACTGGTTGCTTACAATAATTGTGCGACCGACGCTGAGTTGAAGCGCTCCAGCCAAAATTAGTTCAACCAAAAGGCCATGCCTCTCACTCATAAACGAGCATGGCCGTAAAAAACCTTGATGGGGAATCAAACAAAAATATCAGACAGGCCCTCCCACAGTGCAGCACCGTTGCCTGTTTGAGGGGAATACCACTTGCTTAACAGGCTGCAGTAAGATGAAGGTCCAATCAAAGAGACAAAGGGAGTGAGACAGAAGGTTGAAGAACAATACTGTAATCCTGTACCAGTTGGTAGGTGGTTGGTCCCAGTGTTCATCGGTTTTTATCCATCCCCGCTGGTGCAGGAGTTTGTCCATCCACGGCAGGGCTTAAGCATGTTCACCCTCTCCCCACTACCATGGAACCGGCCGGAGGGTCTCTGTTGGAAGAACATGTCTTCAACGGACCCCCCCCCCCCACCAATAAGGTTCTGTATGTCGGTATGCGTCAAAACATGGGAACCGCCCCCCCCCTCCCGAAAAAGAACAAGAACATGGGTATGCTTCAAGACAGGGGCATCGCCCTCCCCCCCCTTCCCAAACCAAAATGGGTGGTCCCAAAAAAAAGGAAGAAGAACAACCTCAATGGTGGTTCTCCTTTTGCCCAAGAAAAACAACATCCCCGAAACTGATGGTTTTTCTTTTGCCCAAGCAACAAAAAAAAAGGAAAACCAAAAGGAGAACCCCCCCCCCCAAAAAAAAAAAAAAACGGCCTCAACACCACAAGGAGCCTGCGAAAAAAGAGGCTTCGACTCATTTAGTCTCCTGCTGCGACTTCCGCTGCGCGCTCTGCAGGGCCAGGGCGCCATAGGCGCAGGCCAGGTCCAGGTTGCAGCTGGCCGAATGGCCGAAGCCGAGCGAAGCGAAGCCAGGCGACGCAGGCGAAGCCCGGCCGGGGGGTTGCAAGTTGGGTGGTTTGAGCAACCTATGGGTCAAAATCCAAATCCACAACACAAACCTCGACATGGGGGGGTGCGAAACATGGTTTCATACTGTGGATGGACGCGAAATCTGCCTATCAGGCACCACTTTGAAACCATGGTTGAAACCATAACGTTGGCTGGCATTTACAGGGGAACCATCATTCCAGGGTGTCTTAGGTGGTGCGAAATGGATTTCGTCCACAGTATGGGCCAAAATCCAAATCATGCCCCCGATGAACTTCCCAATCCAACCACTAAAATCGGTCCTAAAATGGGTGGTGAATTCACCTACCCCAAAATGGGATCCCATCGATTTTGACCCACCGCCACCTAGCCCAGTGCTTTCCACAGGCACCTAGCCCAGTGCTTCCCGGCGAGCCACTGTAGGAAGTAACCAGGTATGGCTACCTCCAGGTTCACATCATGGTTTACTGGGCTGTCCGTTTTCTGCTGCCCCGCGAAAGTGGACAACTTTTAGTGTTTGTGTGAAAACCACTAAAATGGTTCAAACCCAAAAAGTGACTAAAGTCCAACTCAGGGAGTTCCGCCCAGCAACAGGTGGAAAGGGGGGGTGGAGGGTGGGGCAGGTGGGGGCTGCAAAGGTCTGGTTTGGTTGATTCCTGGTCGCTCCAAGCTCCCCTGGGCAAAAGGTCTTTAGACCTTTTGCGCACTTTATTAAAAAAGCTAAAAGGTCTAAGTTGCGATTTGGTCACACCGATCATGCAAAGGAAGCACACCTTGCCAGACCACTGAGAATATCTTCCCCAGACTGGGTTGGTGAAATGGGAGGCTCCCCTACTCCTCACCATAATCCATAGAGGGACCCCGCAACAACCTGGCCCTGGCAGGGAAGCAGGAGTTTGAACCGGCCAGCGGCCCGAGGCTCACCGCGTTTGGCTTTCTCCGTGGTTTCAACACATTTCAACACCTCTGGGGAACTTGGAGGGAGAATTGGAAGCTTCAACCTTTCCGGCCTTTCAACATCACTTCACAGGAAAAAACATCCCTTGGCCAAGGAATCAGGCGCGAAACCCAGCTTGCCACACGCCATGGTTCTAGGGTACCTTCCAACCATTCTTTCCAGGGATCCGATTATTTTCAGGAAACCATCAAAACCCAGGGGGAAACGCATCCGGTTTTTGATAAAGGAACGCTGGTTGAACAAATTGGATTGAAATCAACACCTAGAGTTTTGGATGGACACTTTCCCTTGGTTCCCTGAATAAACAAATACACACTCACACACAAGAAAAAAGGTCTCCTCATGTGTGCTTTTTGAGGGCACTCCTGTTGTTCCCTAGAATCTTGGTTGACGTTGGAAGAAGAGCACACATTTTCAAATTTTAGCAGTTAAGTGGTTGGATTTCAACCACTCAACCAGAACAAGCAAAAATGCAAAAAATGTTGGCATGGCGATCCGAGAAAACAGCCGCTTGGATGGGAACCCCATCCCCGTCCGAGAAGTTCCCGGGCCTTCGGTCGCAGACCGGCAGGGAGTGCAGTGCGCTCACGCGCCTCACCTGAGCGCCCGGTTTCGCCCCTTGACATGCCCCTACCCCAAGGAAAAGGGGGGTGGGGGAAAAAGCCCCACCCAGAAAATGGAAAAACTGCTGTGCCATAAATGGAGATCTCCAGGGGTCGTTTTCCCCCCCCATTCCATTTTGAAGGGTCCCGGGGATCCATTCTTTTCGGCCTTTTATTCCCCAAAATGGACCAAAACGGGGAAAATGGAAACACCAAAAGGTTAAAAGGTCGGCATTGGACAACTAAGCTTAAGCCAATGGAAGTGAAAGGGGCCACTCGCGCGTCACGTGCAGCCCCAGGCGCCATGCCAGCCGTGCTGAATCCGGCAATATCCGCGCGGGGCTCGAAAAGGAAGCGGTACGGCCTGGGCGGGAAACCTGATTCGACGAAAAAGCTATCCATAGAAAGGGGTCCTTAACTTTGAGACCACATCCGTGGTTAAAAACAAAAAAACAGTCTCCTTCTGACCCCTAGGAAAAAGGGGTCACCCCTGAAAATTTGGGGTAATGACGAACCATTTTTAAAGGGTCCTTAGGGAGACTCCAGGTACATATATACAAATATATATATATATATGTTCATATGTGTGCACAATTAAACGATGCCCATGGTTTGCCTGCTCCTTGAAGGCTGCCGGGAGCGACCCCACACCCCCTCCACCCCGTGCCCAGGTGGCCAGAACCTACACCCTAACTGATTTTGTTTTAAAAAAAACATATATATATATATACAAAATGCATACCATATTATATCTGTGTGTGTGGTATTGCGGTGCCCTGCTTCCTTGATTTCCAACGACAAATGAAGAAGGGAACCTCTGGAGAGCCAAATGTCAATAATGTACATGTTGGGTGCCACATTGTCGCTTGGGGGTTAGAGATGTTGGCACGTCAAAGCTTGGATTACAATCGCTAAACAAAACTTCTTGGAAACTTGGTCAGCGCCTAAAACCAGAATCGAAATAATCTCATCAATAGCATGTTGGTACTGCAAACGGCCGAAAAACATGCTGACCCTCACCAAGCCATTGCTGCCAAATGAATGTGCATCCGGAAAATAAGATGGCTCTTCCTATGTGTCGGAAGCCTCCCTCTGCCGTCGCTGCAGCTCTCTCCTTTTTCTTCGCTCTTGCCTTCCTGTCTTTGTTCTACTCCTATAGCGTCCTCTAAGCAGGGGCAAGGGCATACAAATCATTGGATCACGTATCCAAAACAGCACATGGGTATGTGTCAAGAGGGGGGACAATGCCTTTCCCGTTCAGACCCCTCAAAGCACGAATCCACATGTGCCAGGGTTTAAACTCATCACGTGCCATTCTTGACCAATGTATTTCCCGACTTGGCTGGCCTTTGCTTTTCCATTAAACCCGATCGCAAATAGTGATCGACCTCTTGCTCAGGATAGAGCGCAGCCAATGCCAAAACGCGATTCGGTGGCTTTCCCAGGGAGCGTAGATTCTAAGCCGAGCCTGCCTCCTCAAACTACCCTCAACCAAGGATTGTTGCCCCAAAATCCATGCAATCCTCCAGCACCGGCTTGCGTCTACGCCGGCGGCATCGGCGCCCGCACCGACGCCTGGCAAGAAAGCTGCCTGGGGCCAGCCGACGTCTGAAGACTAAAGGGAAATGCAAATGCCTGGGCATGTGTGGGGGCATGCTGTTTGGGGGCATTTGGCATTTTGGGTTCTTGGCTTTTTTTTTGTTCCTGTGTGTGTGCCGGGGCTTCTTAAGGGCAAGGGTTGTATTGGCCAGTCTTTCCAGGATTGTTTTTCCTCGTTGGGGGGAGGGTGTAATTTGAGACCAGGCCAAGTTCGGAAGCTGCCAGTGTCCGAATATCAACCGCTTTTGGATCCAACAAAACCATCAACAGCCCAACAGCCCATGAGCCTATCAGCCCAACCAGCCCAACAACCCAACAGCCAGCCCAACACAGCAAGCAACCCAACAACCCAACAGCCCAACGCATGTAACTGATGGTCAACAAATATACTTGGATGGTCAAATCAAACCTTTGGCCAAATTGGGTTCCACAAGCTTGGGTTGCATACCTCCAGCGGCAGTCCTACTTTTTTTGGGGGGGGGATACTTGGGTGCATTTATTTTAGGAGACTGCCCAAAATGGACTTGGTTTTCATTTTGGGTAAGGCCAGCAAAAGGGCTACCAGGCCAGCAAAAGGGGTACCAACTCCAAGAAAAACAGGGCCACTTGGCTAGAGTATTCCCATGTTGTCAAGCCCGCCAAAAGGATCCTATCGACACTACCAGGCCTAAACAGGGCCATAGGTGCTAGTCCCTATTGGGATTGGGGTCCCTTTTTTGACAACCATACTGTGGATGGTTGCGAAATCCATTTCGACACATGGGAAACCATTGCTGGTTGGCATTACAGGGGAAGCATCATGCCAGGGGTGATGTGGAAGTGGTGTGGTTCTTGGCCCCAGTAAGTCCCCAAAACCCGTCTTCACAAGGCTGCATGCCCGCATCAGCAATAAAAGCAGTAAGAGCAGTGCCCGACTGTTGGTTCTAAAAGGCCATAAAAGCTTATGCAGGCTCTACGAAAACCACAATCGAGTAGTAGAACCGCTACTACTACGCACTTCCTGGGCCAAAACAAGTCCAAACTTCTTGGTCACCACCAAAGTTTTGGCTGCATGCGGGAATTGAGCCCAATCCACTCAACACAAAAGCTCATGTTTTCAAAGGCATTTCCGGTGAATGCCCCTGCCAGATTGCAAGTGAATCACGCACCACAGCTAGGTCCTCCAGTAGTTTGAGGTTAGAATAATTAAGGGTACCAACGTTGTTTGTTTCCTGTCTACTTTAGTAGGGGAACCCTCCCCCCAAAAAAGGGTAGAGGGAACTACTGGGGGACCTAGACAAACCCATGAACATTTACAAGCGGTTGGCAGTAGCTTAGCAAACCGCCCGCCCGCCCGCCCGCCCGCGAAGAGGCCGCCCGCCCGCCCGCCCGCCCGCCTCAATACGGGTTGTATCGGGATCCGCCTGCGAAGAGGCAAGTGCATGGCGCATGGCATCTTTGGACAGCCGGCGTTTTATACATGTTAACACCGTTTGCCTAGCTAAAACTAAAAGTCAATGCTATGCACCGATTCCCCTTCTGTTCCTGGAACCCCTGGCATGCGCCTATCCTGACATGCCCTGCTCGAATCCACCTAGTATGCAGTGGCAAGTGCGGTTGTATACATTATATAATATGCACATCCTTTGCGTATCGAATTTGTGAGATTCTTAGTCACAAGCCTGACCTAAGACACACTAAGTCGCCATCCCATTTTATGCCCAGGTGAGCTCGTTTTGGCTAGAAGCCCATGCTCCCTACAAGCAGCGTCAAGACCTCGGATGTTGACGGATATCTGACATCAAACGGCTCCTTGTGTCGCTTCATACGTGTGCCCATGGCAGATCCCCAAAGGAGTTGCTGGGTTGCCAATAAGGGCTTGGATCCTTTCAGTTTCAGGGTTGCTGGGTTGGAAAGGATCTCAACAAACCCAAAGGAGCTGGATGAATAATGGCTGAGGCTCGGCCAATCCGAAACGCGAATCCCAGGAAAATGACTGAAGAGAGGACTCCTTCCGTAATGACTTTGACAAGAACTGAGGATTGCCTTTGAACAGGTTGAAACCAGTTGCCTTCAGGGCCTTCATTCGGGGGAAAGAAAGGAAGTGGGGCAGGGTAGGGGTGGGGTAGGGGGGTTCTGATTGGCTCCGGTCAGGGTCCAACAGCCACTTGGGTGTTTGACTAAGTTGGTAAGATGGCAACCTAGGCGATAACCCACTTTAACCCTGTGAGTGGGTTGTAACCCCGGCTAATTACTTGTTAACTTGGTGCCTCAAACTCCAAGTCCGGCTCCCTCTTAGGCGAATTCGGATACCCGCTGGGTGTGCCCAGCCCCCTTCCAAGCACCAGCCCAGGACTGGTTGGAAGTTATTTTTCCCAACAAGACAAAGCTCACAGAAAGCAATGACAACATGCAGAAAGCAACAACAGAAAGCAATGCCCACCAGCCCAGGAAGCATAACATGGCAACTTAAGCAGAAAGCAATAAGCCATGATAACATGATAACATACAGAAAGCAAAAAACACAAAAACACTTGGGTAGTAAGAGACATGCCAAGAGCGAAGACACTCCAACCCCCCAAAAAAATAGATTCAAGCTCCAGGCCTCTTCCAGCAACAGCTCCCGGTGGCGGTTCGAACTCCGTGGGGCACTCCTTCCGAGTGCCGGCCCCGGCCCCGGCACCCCCCGAATCAAACCGCTGGAGAGGGCAATTCGTTGGCTCCCACGCCCCCCCCCCCTCCCTACCCCGTTTTGGGTTGAGAACCGCCCAACCTGCCCTAGGGCATACTTTTTGAGAAACTTCCATTTGCTTCAGCCCCTCAAATATGTCCAGTAGCGAAATTGATGCCCTGCCCTTTGAACATACTCATTTCTTCAGCTAACCCTTAGTTGGTGGCTTGGACTCGGATTTGAACCCTTCCAAAAAAGATGCGCTGGAATCCTAGAGAACGGTTTGTCCAACAAACGTTTGCATTTGGGGGGCTTCTTTTTTGGAGGCGGTGCGCCTTTGGTAGATGTAGAGGGAAACCTCCAGGAAAACGCCTCCCATTTGAAGCCCGCACTCCAAATGCCCACAGCCGAAACACACAAAAGCTTGCTTCAAATGCCGGCAGAATCGGCACGCCGAACAAACAGTAGTGGCTCGCTCGCGCACCGGTTTTCTGGTCAAAAGTCTGGCCAAGGTGCCCAAACTGTCTGTCCCGTCTGCGAGTTGTGGTAGTAGGGCAGCCCGGACTGCGTCTTGTATGTCCTCCGGACGCGCCACAAGCACGGCGGTTGTTTTTGTAAATGACGAGCTTTCCTCGGGTACAACGGATTCAACATGATGGTCCTGTACTTCGCAATCCAGCCCTCCATTTACAGAAGCTGGTCTTGGCCTGAATCGTGTTTTTTTCGTCAAAGATCAACAGAGTTCCGGAAACGATGCATCCACAAATCACCCTGATTTACAATGGGGTACTGGCAAATCAGCTGTTATGTGATGCTCCGAACAGGGTCACTTGCTTTTGCACCCTTTCCAAGTGTCCTACGAGTTGTTTTGAAGGGTGGCCAACGCCCTGGGTTTGCCTGCCATTGTTCCTATTGTTGTTGGAAGGGTGGGTCGGCCCTTGGTTTCCTACAAAACCAGGTACCTACCCTGCTTCCAACAATCACAGAAGCTGACAGGAGGGTTCTGGAAGACTACTTTCCCTATGGGGAAGCCTCCGATTGTCCACTTCCATGATTGTTGAAACGAGGGTAAACTTGCTGGTTCTCAACAGGGAATGAGGGAAAGACCCCCCACAAACCATCCTTTGTGGCTCCCCGAGCCCTTATAAACATTGCCAAACCTCAAGGGTAAACAACTGATGAGCGGCTCCGGCGGCTGCCCGTTCGAGTGTCCTTTTTCTGGATCCATTAAAGTGACCTCTCAGCCTCAGCGCGGCAAACATCACAAACTGAAATCCAAACTATCCACAATCACGGACCTTCATCATGGGGCCAACCTCGCGAACGCCCTGAAAAAACAAGGAACCCCGACGCTCACTAAAAAAAGCCCTTGCAACAAGAAACCCGACTCTCCCTAAAAAACGCCCCTAAAAACGCCGGAAACCCGACTCTCCCTAAAACCGCCGGAAACCCGACTCTCCCTAAAAACGCCTTAAAAACGCCGGAAACCCGACTCTCCCTAAAACCGCCGGAAACCCCACGCTCCCTAAAAACGCCCCAACAAAGCCGCGAACCCGACTCCCCCCCCCAAAAAAAAAAAAACGCCGCCCCTCGCAAACCCGCTTCCGCCGAAATTTCTCTTGGAGAAACGGCTGTGGGTCAAAAATAGGTACCCAACATGGACCCCTGGTAAATGGAACCAAGGACTGGAACCTGCGCTCCCCCGGTGGCTTAATTTTGACCCATACCCAAATTTCGCCTCCAGGGCGTGAGGTGCGCCGGGGGCGGCGTCTTGGGCGGCGGGGGCTGGCCCGGCATCGCCGGCGCCAGCGCCCCGCCGGCCCCGCCGTGCGCCAGAGGCGCCTGGCCGAACCTGGGACGGACGGAGGCGAGTGATGGAGTCGTCACCGCGGAGTGTCATCCGCGGGGACCAAAGGAAACCAGGGCTGAAACCAAAAAGCTGGTTGGGGACCTGGTTGGTAGTTACAAGGGAATCAGATCAGAAGGTTGAAACCAGGGGAACCACAAGGCTGGTTGGTCTTGTTTCGGTGGCATAAGGAGGGGAAGCCACAAGGCTGGTTGGTAGTTACAAGGGAATCAGATCATAAGGTTGAAACCACAGTTGAGACCAGAAGACATTGGTTAGGTATTTAAGTGGGGGGGGAATTACTAAACATTCCTAGGATAGAGAACGTTGGTTGGTATTTACAGGTGTTTCATGTTGACGCCAGCAGCACGAAAGGAAAGCAGGAGTTGAAAAACCATAAGACGTTGGATAGGCATGTACAAAAGGGGAATCGAATCATTCCAGTTGTGAAGTGCTGGATTACAAGGTGATCACCTTGCAACCCGAACTAAAATTGGACCAACAAGGGGAGCCAACAAGTCAAAAGGTCGGCTTTGGGCAAGTGAGGGTCCTTTGCAAATAAACCAGCCACACTCCACAAAAACTGGGAGCTAAACCAACCAAGAACCTGACAATGTCAGGAAGCGACTGGAAAACACCCACAAAACCATGGGACATTACGGGGGGTGTCCAGATCCTTTAAGTGGCGTCTTGCTTTTGGAGGAACCAGCCCTTTAATAGGACGGCTAGCTCCAAACCCCAAAGCGATCAGAATTAACCAGGGGTTTTAACTTCCTCCGGGGCTCCTAGGTGTCCTTTTGGGAAAGATGGCCCTGACATGTTGAAGCCAGGTCAATCAGGGCATCTACTAGAAACGGCTCACGTGCCAAAACTTTTGCCCCAAACAGGTCATTCACCTTTTGAAATGAAAAAGACAAACTTGCTGCATCCCATGGCACCTGACTACCTCGCCTTCTGTATGTGGGAGGAAGGGTAACCTTTTGTAGATAGGATTGGACAAGCCATGTTTGAAACCCAAAGTTGTCTAGTGGGGAATTTGGTCACACCCATAAGTGTCCTTTTTTGGGAAAATAGATGCTCCCAGTAGTTGATTGAACCACCAGGTAATCCAGGAACCGCCGTCTATTTTTCAACCAAATCATCCAACAAGGGCAACTATGGTCACACCCCAAAAGCCGAATCGCCAAGCTACATGCCCTGGTTCTTGGCCAGCATCACCTGTGGGCAAGTGACACAGGATCTGGTGCGAAAATTGCCTTCTTGTTCGGGGCCTTTCGTCCAAGTACCTCATGAGGATGGCTGTTGGGGAGTAAAAAGGGGTCTAAGTAACTCCTTAGCAGGTACTTGGACCCTCTGGGCTGGGGTACTCAACCCCCATTGAACTACTGCTTGGCCCAGTGTTTGAACGGTGGATTGAATTTCAGGGAGATACCCTCGAAAGAGACACCAAAGAGAAAGTTGGCCAACACTAGGCAAGTACATGCAGAGTTGGCCGCAAAAAAGATCTAGCACCGGCAAGACAAGGATAGACAAGGGATGCCCTTTTGGGCCAGCCGGGTGCTCCAAGAAACTTGAGGAAAGCGGTGCAGTTTTGGCTCCCAAGGCCAAATTCGAGCACTACCCTTCCAGTGTCACAAGGTAGGTTGAAGCTGCTCCCAAACATCTAAGAGCTCAGTGGATTTAAAGACCGTCCCCTTACCAATGAAGGGGTAGCTTTGCCTTGAGCCCTTTTCTTATCAGCGTGCCTTGCCGCGCGAGCTTCTCTCCCGCAGGAGCACGGCCACTGCAAGAGATCCTTCATTTTCCGCCGACCGCCGCTGCTACCCCCCGCTTGCGGGAATCCGGGGCGGTCTACCAAATGCATCTCCGATCCAGCCCAAATATGTCCAGACTTGCCCCCGACACATCTCATCTTCGTTCCGCACGCCTTCCGCCGCTGATCCGCGAGTTAGTGCACCTCACGAACTCTTCCTTGGAGCCCGGTGCTTCAAGGAGGACTGCTCCATGGCAACGTCGCTTTTCGGAACCGATCGTTCCAGGGGCGCCCCCCCCTGAGATCGCACTCCTCATGGCCCTCTTTCTCGGCCGGCTTTCCAACTGCGCCGTGAGACAGCGCAGCGTTGTAGCACTTCGCTTGAAGCTGCGACACCAGCCCGCTTGCAGCGTGTTAACTGTTGCACATCGTAGAGAGTTCTCTGGCTCCACCATTCACTGGGTCCTCCAGCAGAGAGGTTAGAAAAAGGACCCTGTTTTCTGTAGGGGAACCCTCCCCCAAAAAAGGGGTAAAATGGCACTACTGGGGAACCTAGTTAAGAAAGAATCCAGACCTAGACCTAGCTGCAACATCAAAGAGGTAGGTCCAAGCCCAGGCCTACCACCAACATGCGACAGGACGCAGGAAGGCCTTCCGAGAGTGTAGGATGAAGCAATGCAAGCCTACCAAGAAAATGGCCCCTCCAGGTAATAGATTCAGAGCTTCCACCTTCAAATGGGCCAACCCCTTGAAATGTGCGATGTCTGAAGAAAATGCATTGGGAGTCAACCCTTAGAACCATTGGAGAACGGGTTCCTTTCTTCTCTCCACCAAGCAACAACTTTCGAGCCTGCCACTCTCCCAAGACCTTCCTCAAGGACAACTGGTTGTATAGACCCACAATATGCACGTATGTACAGGGTATGGTTTCTCCATAGGAGTAGTGATTTTGAGTAGACTGAAAGAAGTCGGGCCTCCAAAATGGGTGGGAAACCCGCGTTGGCTTTTTGTTGAAAAAGATGGCCCATAACTCAGTTGCCCGAGGGACCTGGAAATACAAGGTTGACCTTCTGATACTTCTTACGACAAGTGAACCAAAAGGGAAGACCAACAGGTTAAATCCGGTCGACTCGCTGTGAACAACTGAGAAAATGAATGCAAACCCCCAAAAGTGACTCAAGTCCAGGAACTTGCATCCTATTTATTAACTCACCTCCTGAACCACTAAAATGATCCAAACGGATTCAGTCAGTGACCGGATCCCCCCAACTGCCCGGATCCGCCCCACTGCCCCACTGCCGGCCTCGCAGGCCCTCTGCGCCCCCGGCAGCAGCAGCGCGCGGTCCGTGGCCTCCTTCGCCTGCAGCGCCTTCCGATCGAGGCGGAGGACACGGAAAAAAGAAAAAAAACAAAAGAAAACAAAAAGGAAAAAACACATGGGAACACGTCCGTTGGCTTGAGCCCCCTGCTTTTTTGTTTTTTTTTTTTATTTTTTCCAGCGATAGATTCCTTTTGAAAACCAAAATTTGCTAGTATTTGCTTTTTCTTTTTTCCAGCTATAGATTGTTGTTGAAAACCAATATTTGGAAAATCAACGATATTCTTAAGCAAATGGAAGAAAACGGGCTTCACCCTAAGGTTGATAGGGTAGGGCTGATTCGCCCTTTAGCCGCATGCCTTTTGAAAAAACACTGGGCGCTCCAAGTTTTGAGCCAATGATGGTTGAACAAGCGGGCATTGCGGAAGGGGTAAGTTTGACCCAGGATTCGTAAAGCATCCAAGACCAAAGTTGGCAAGTCAGTGCTCCCTATATTTCCCCTTAAAACGTCACCCCCACCACAGAACACTCACCTTTCATGGGCCAAAAAGGCGATGTGCAAAATCGAAAAAATGGGAAATATAGGGCTTGGTTGACGTTGGAAGGGGAGCATGTTGAATTTCAGCAGCTAAGTGGTTGGATTTCAACCACTACCACAACAAGCCAAAAATGTAAAAATGTCTCCCAACGACAACCATGTTTGGGTGGTGGTGGTCCAACGATGTAGGGGTGTCCCCAGAAGGGGGGTAAATGGCCAAAAATCAACCCAAGAAATCTACCACAACAAGCAAACATGTAAAAATGTCTCCCAACAACCGCCATCGACCCCTGAGCGTAAACCCTTCAAGTTGGAAGCCCTGCCTCCGCCGCTGAGGTGAAGGTGACAAAGGCCCACTGCCGACCTATGGCCACGTGGCCGCGGGTCAAGAAACCGCCTTCAACGGAAGCCCCGACTTTTCTGGGCTCCCCAAAAGGAGATTACTGAGTTCCATGCACCCATGCTGGCCAGGGGAGTATGGAAACATTTCACGGAAGAAACATACCTTGTTACAACTCCCCAAGAGATTCCGCTAATCTGATGGATTGGTGGGTTCCATGCTAACCTGCAGGGGAGTAATGGGGAGTATGGAAACATTCAGGAGTCCACTCCCTCCACGTCCCTCTCAAATGGACCATGCACCGGATATTTGATCAAAGCGCACTATGACGGCAAATTACCTCTTATGAGATGGCTAATTACAGTCTTTTGGCACTGTTGCCCACGAAAGGGAAAGTGGAACAATCAATGGAATTCACCAGGGGCCACCTCCCTCAGCACTCCTCCATGTCAGCTGTCAAAGAGTGGGGATTCAAACAAAAGTTGGAAAAAGTTGGGCATTGGGCGGCAGTGCTTGACAACCTATCGCATGGTTGCGGATAATCATCCTGTCTGCAATGCCCAAAGTGGAGCTCCCATCTTTATAATTGTTCATTTAATTTCAAGGGCGCCCCCCCCCCCCAGGTGGTTAAAAAACTGCAGACATCTTGAATCTGGGTGGGGTTTCAACAAACATCATGCAATAATTTTAATTGTCGTTGCTGTTTGAGCAAGCGCGATTTCGGAAGTTCCTTGTGTTTTCTGCGGGTAGCTTCTTGTTTGTTTCCTGTCTTTGGTATTTACATGTATTTACAGATGCCCTTTGGGTGTGTCTTGCTCAGAAAATGGTTGTTTGGCTTTTCCCCCTCAGTCTCACTTCGTGAGTGGGTTGGCAAACAAAGTCTGAACACTTTACATACCACTGACATGGCCAACTCAGGGAGTGAGTACTTGAAGATCAATAGGCTGCAGCCTGCAAAATGCCACGTGTTTTCGCCAATGCGCCTGGATCACAGTTCTGCTTCACGTAGATGTCGGTGACGCGGCCATATCTCGAGAACCTCAGGGCAGCTAGCGCACATGCCCTTACCGGGCAAAAGGTCTAAGCTTTCATAGGTACGGAAAGGCCATTTGGCCATGGGTCAAAACCCCGTAATTACCACCAGTGAACATCCCAATCCAACCACTAAAATAGGCTAAAATGAGTGGTGAATTCACCTACCAACCAAAAATGGGATCCCAATGGTTTTGAACCATGGCCATTTGTTTCCAAAAGGTCTCAGTGGCAAAGGTCGCACCAACAACACGCCAAGAGGAGTTTCAACCATCGGTGTCCTTTTAGGGGAAGTAGATGGGTTTCCCTGCTATAAGATTCAACCACCAGGTATAAACCAGGAATCGCCATCTATTTTTCGACCAAAACAACCAAAAAGAACACCAATGGTTTCCACGTTCTCAAATCCCAAGCCCAGCTGCAACCAGAACAAATGTAACCTCTTTGATTCCGTTGATGCCGTTGGTGGAAATTCCCGGCAAAACCAACGCAAATATCATGGTAACCCCAGGGGGTTCCACGTGTTCTTGCGACAGTTGAGTCGTTTTGCGGGGTGCCCTTCCCACGAACATAGAACCACCTGCGGGAGGGCACCCAGGGACGCCATGTTTTTGTTGGGTAGGTTCAAAGGCCCACCCTTCTCGGGGTCTTGATCCCCCTTTGCTGGGGTGCCAAGAAACGCTCTGGGCCCAAATAGAATATGCGCGCGCGTATACATATATATATATAAATATATATATATATATACATATCTTGTGCTTTTTAAAGAACACTATGGTAACTCATGCAGTTTCATATATGGGTGTGTGTTTTTTTAGGGGGACCCCTCAAAGTGGTGGTTTTCCTTTTGGTTTCCCTCCAAAACCACCAAAACAGGGATACCCTCGAAAAAGACACACCCATATGCCGTGAAGGAGGAGGCCCCAGAACTGGTTCTGCAACAAAAGCTCAATGGGAAATCAAGCGACCGGACTTTGAGCCGTGAAATCCAAATGCCCTAGATAGAAAGATCGATGTGTCCGATGTGTTCCCAAAGTCCGCCAGGGGGACCGTAACAAACAACAAACCAAAACATCTGCAAATTTGGTCCCAAACATCAGGAACTGCCCTTGCTTTAGGTGATTCAGAGAATTTCCTGAAGAAACTAATGTAGCTGGTTTCTATGATTTGTTCAAGGGGGGATCTGGATCATGCCAGGCTGAAATTCTAATAAATGTCGATCTCGCAAATACCTTTTGGAGTGGGGGGCGTATTTATGGTTAAAGGGGGGTAGAGATGAAAAGACCCACATCATGGTGAGCTCGTTTTACCCCGTGTGGGCTGAGGATTACTTCGGGCCCAAACTGGGCTTCGGTCCGATCCAATCTCTTCACTTTATCTGCCAAGCATCTCGCTTCTCAGCAACTGCTCCGAACAGCCATCAGGCAAAGAGCCCACAAAGATCTTGCACGCTCCTGGTATCAGTGTGTCATGTGTCACTGAGCTGAAACAAAATCCGAGACAAAAACAGCCCATGGAAAGGGATGGGATCGTGGATCTACTACCTTCTTCAAGCAGAAGCACCCCGGCCAAAATTGAATCAGAACCCAAAAACCGCCCAAAAAAAAACCAAAACCCATGGGCCAAGGTCCGTCGTGGCTCATTCAACCGCACTTGTGCCTCTTTTGTATAGGGGCAGCCCGCATTCCGTTTTGCAGGAAAACCAACTTGCAACCCTCCCCCCGGTTAACAACAGGCTCTAGGCTTAACAGTTGCTAAGGCAAGAGCGAACATTCAGCTTCCCTCTGACTGGTGGTTCGGATTGTTGGTTTGGTGGTGTCCCTCTACAAAAGTCAGGGGTTCAAATCCAACTCCAAAGCACCAATCCAAGCCAGCAACTAAGGGTTACCTGAAACATCTCTGCGTGTGTCCATATGGATATACAAAAAGACTTGGCACACCCAAAGCAAACTTGAGATACACATCCCATCCGACAGTTCGAGGGCCATTTTGTGTGCATGAAGAACAGGTTCCTCTTGGGTCGGACTTTGAAGTAGAACCCCCGCATAAGATTACTGGCTGTTTGGCTAAGTTTGTAAGCTGTTGGTGACCTAGGTGATCACCCATTTGTAAGTCCCTCGTAGACTTAACCTAGGTCCTCCAGTAGAGAGATTAGAATAAGGGTACCAACTTTTTTGTAGTCTATTCTAGTTGGGGAACCATCCACTACTGGGGGACCTAGTAACCCTGTTGCCGGTGCATGGGTTGTAACCCAGGTGGCTCTCCACTTCTAACTTGGCAATGAACATCCAAGTGCCCTCCTTCCGATGGAAGCTCAGTGCTGGAAGGAGAATATACATGGGTGTGTCTTTTTGAAGGCGATCCATAAACGGTTGGTTTTCCACTAAAACCACAAAATAGGGGTGCCGGCAAAATAATAATAATTAAAAGAAACACACACACACACACACAGACCCAAATTGAACTTGGCTGCAAGCTTCGGGGACCAAATATCTAGCTGCTGTCCACTACATCGGTGGTCTGGAACAAAAACCGTTGAACTAAAATACCCAACCCCGTTTGCCTTTAACAACATGCGACGTTTCTGCTTGTTTTATTGAGTAATAAACTTACATCTTGCAATTCCTCCTTTGTCCAATTTCAGATATTTGCAACCCTCTTTGTTTTTTTCTTTGGGTAAGTATTCGAAGCTTTTTGCCTGGAGATTCATTCTCCGTGACTTTCCTGGTCTTTCTTTCCTAAATCTCGAGGTTTTTTTCATGCAGTCGCCTAAAACTCCCCAATACTCCCCAAATCTCCTAGAACACCCAACACGCCCAAAAGTAATGCTGACCCCATATTAATCAACCCCAGTTTAGTAGTAGGGGGGTGTCTCTGCATTTAGTGGGGAACCATCACTTTTAGAGGGGCCCCCACACCCTCATACAGATACCGGGTCAAAAAGTACCTGAAAACCAGAAAACGCCTGCTAGGTCTTTTCTCCAGCAAAGAGGTTAGAATAAGTTGGTCCTCCCCCCCAAAAAGAAAGGGTAAATGGGCACCTAGCTGGGGGGACCTAGCATAAAACGCCCCGCGGCTCCCGGCCTCCAGGTGCCTCGAAGCCTCCAGCGCCTCCAGCACCTCGAGTCCGGGCGGGGCCGCCGCCGATGGGCGCGCCCGCGCCGATGACGCTGTGGAAGGAGCGCTCCGGCGCCTGCCTGGCGGTCTTTCGGGTTTAGATCCTGGGTTTTGGCGGGGTTTAGATCGTGAAGGTAGGTGGGTTTAAACAGATGGTGGGTTCAGATGGTGGCTTTTTCTTGGTTCTAGGGGTTGATTCCACTTCCAATCTTTTAAAGCATTGTTCTTTCCAAAAAAGAGCAGTTTTCCCTGGGTTTCCGGAGGTTTGCTAGAAAGAAGGATCAATGGAAAGAATGGGGAAGGTACCCGTAGAGTGGTGGGTTTGGGCAGGGTTTAGATCGTGGGTATAGGTGGGTTTAAACAGATGGTGGGTTCAGATGGTGGGTTTAGATGGTATCCTCGCTCCATGCCCAGTGCTTCCAGATTAAAACAATACTGCAACCAGAGGAAACCATGCATGGAAAAACCCTGACCAACTGGAATTGGATGAGGTCACAACCCCCCGAGTTGCGGAACCTTCGTGGACGGAATCAAGGGAACTGTAATCCTTTGCGTCGATGGCAAAAGTAACCAGCCGGCACCCCATGGCGCGTTCCCAAGCGTAAGGATCGACCTTTGGATAGGTGTTGGATGCAAGCGTTTGGTCGTGCACTGGGAAGTTGCCATATTGGGCACTTTCCAGATGGGTCGTTTTGAGGGTACCCCCTTTTTTAAGATTGGTTAAAGGGAAACAAACAAAGCCCTTGAGGCTTAGAGCGCCTGCAGACAGTTGACGGTTGGCTCCCTGATGGGCTGCAATGACACCAAACAACAGGACCTCTTTTAAGTTGGTGATTGTGTGAGATTTGTCCACTACCTTGCAAAGCCAGGCCAGTCATAAACCAGCTCCAACCAGGGCCCAAACCAGGCAAACATGCAACATCCTTCAGACTTCATGGGCGAACCCGCGCGTTTCACCATGCTCGTTAGCATTTGCCCGAAAAAATGTGCTCGGTGTAAATTTCGAGGTTCGGCTTCAAGTTGCGGGATGTCATCCCATTTGGCCTGCACAGGGCTTCAAATCCCCCATCATAACCCCAGCTGCTCACTCCAGGTGCCTCAGGTGCCTCATGTGCGTTTGGGAGCCACTCACAAGGAACTGGGGTGACACCACTACCACAAGGGAAAATGAGAATTTCACAAGGTTTAAGAGTTGGCTGTTTGCAACGAGCCGCTCACCCCGCAACGCGGAACCCATGAAACCCTCATGTGCAGAGGAAATCCCTTTAATTGCACCCTCTTTTTTGGGCCTAATCCGCGAAATCGCCCCCGGTGGATCCATGTTCTTACATAGTAGGTAACCAAGGGAAAACCACCCTTTATAAAACCACGAGGAACATAGCTGGCTACCTACTAATTACATGGTTACCCTCCCTCCGACTAACATAGCATCTGTGGAAGGGCTGCAAGGTCATGCTCCCCATGTAGGGGCCGGGTCCCTGTCATGGCAACGGAGTGGGGGTAGCTGGTTATTGGGCCCCTTGAGCCTTTGGATTTCACTTGGACACCGAAAATGCCGGCTGAGCTGCGTAGGCCTCATCCGGTTCCCGGCCACTTCCTTGGCCGGCCGGCCTGGCTCGAGCGCATGAACCCGAAGGAAGTTCGGGTTGCACCTTTCACTTTCTTCCACTTGCTTTCTTGTGCCGCCTGGAAAAAGAAACATTGATATATCCAGTAGGTAGGGATAGATCCCCTTTAAACCCAACAGGATTGGCACTTACCAAAATTAACGAAACCTTTTTGTTTACCACTGAACTGGCAACTAAACCCAACAAGTAGTGTGGATGGACGAAATCCCTGGTGTCCCCCGATTCTTGCCATAGATCCCTCCAAAGAACAGCGTAACAGAGATGCTCCCACTTTGGACGGTTGCGTAATCCATTTCGCACCACTTTGGAGGGTAGGCGCTTCATATTTAGCCTCCACAGAATCCAGGGCTTCAAATCCCCATCCCCGAGCCAATCCAGACCACCAACTAAGCCTGAGACAGAACCGTCGGAGAAAAAAGAAAGAGAAAAAGACAAAACAAGAAAAACAATAAACAAGCAACGAAGAACGTTTGACCTACGGCCGTGCCGTTTGGGTGCGCTGGCATGTGGCTTATTCATACTTAGGTGTTTGATTCGCCAAGTTAGTAGATTGTTGCTGACCTAGGTGATAGCCCATTTGTAAGTCGCCCCCTTCAGTGGAGTTAACCCTGTTGGCTAACCACTTGACTCGCCAAGAACATCCACTCAGTTCCGATCGAGTGGACTGGCCAAAATGTGTCCGAACTTGGAATTTACCACTAAAATGGTCTAAAATCAAAAGTGACTACAGTAAAGTCCATGAATTCAGGGATTGAGCCCCATCACCAAAACTATCCAATCCTTGGTATGGTGGCAAAAGACCTGGTTTGTTGCACCCGGCAAAACAAAAGCAGAGCCATAAAACCGCCAAATGCCAACCAAAAACAAAACAAATCCAACAACTGCAATGTTGAACATCCAAGCGCTTTTTCTCCAAGCCACCCCCCCCCCCCCCGTCGCTTCGGAAATCGAAAACGCAAGTCGCCTGCCCCGTCGTCCTGGCCGAAGAGACCCTGGTGCTTGGCGATGGTCACCTCGCAGGGCCGCTCTGCGCCTGGCGCGGGAGTCCGTCGCTCGAAGATCGAAGCTGCGAGGTGTCTTAAGTGACCCCGGTAGATCCATTTACCTGGGCTGCCCGTTTGCAGACCCCCGCTAAAAGCGACTAACTTTTGCTGGGCTAAATGGAAACTACCACTAAAGTCACTAAACACTAAAAAGCTAAAAGCCTAAGGTTTTGTAGGCAACCAAGGCTTGCAAGAAGGGCGTGGGCTTGCCAGCCTGTACCCTTTTGGACCAATAGCAGAGTTCCCTCGAAACCACCCAGAAGCAAAAAACGGTGGATCCGTTTGGGCGTGTCCTTTTTTGGGAGGGCACCCTGTTTTGGTTGGTTTTAAAGGGAAACCAAAAGGACAAGTGCTGTTTTGCGGGTCCCCCAGAACAAAAACAGACCCATTGACTTCCATTTGCTTCAGCCCCCTGGAAAAAACAAGTAGTGATCAATTCCCTTTGAAACCAACAGGGTAAAATAAAGAACATTCTCGAGCAAATGGACGTTTACCGGGATTTGTCGGCATTGGACCAATGGCTGAGTTTCCTCGTGATGTTGAAACCCGGACCCTCAAGCTACCCAGAAAAAAGGCTGATTGTTTCACCCCGTGGCGGTAATGGCGTGGTGCCATCACCCCTTTTTCCAGGGCAGCAGGGTCCGGGCACCTGGTTTTGCGGTCAACCCAGACCCGTTAAACACCAAGAGGAACCCCAGCGAGTCGCCTACGAGAAGGGGACTTGGGATCCACGGACCCCCCAGGATACACCGAGTCGAGTCTTTGACCTTTTGTCGAGTCCATAACCTGAGGGCCCTTCAGGCAAGGTCCAAGCCCCAACCACATTTGCCATGGAAGGCTTGCCAGATAGGGACAGCCTTCCGAACGTGTTCGTTTGAACACACATCTTTGCAGAAAGGCCAATTTAAAGCGAGCCGAAAACTGACCGGGCCGTGGGAAACAAAGGCACTCAAAACACGGGGCCCAAAAACCCGCCGTAAGATGTCGCTTCCCACCTCACGGGTCCAAAACCCGAGTAAAAAATGGATCCAAAGTCCGAAACGGCGCTCGGGTGCCGGACTTCTTCTCCGGTAAAGCACCAACCAAAAGGGAAATGTCCACGGTTAAACCGCATCTCTACCTGGGAATTATCCGCTGGTTCGAGTGACTTTTTGTTCCTTGAAGGAATTGTGTTTTTTGGTGCTCGATTCATCAGTGAGTGGTTAGTGCCCCAGGTTTTACAACCAGACTAGCTGAACTTGGGGGACCTACAAGTAGGATATATAACTGTTTATCTTATAACCCAAGTTGCCAACAACTTCGTCGCATGATGTTGCGCAGGTGCAAAAGGAAATCGTGTGTAAGCGTTTTTCAGCCGAATGGCTCCAAGCTGCTTGACTCAAATTCCCTGCAACCAAACCAAAGCACCAAACCAAACCACCTAACAAAGAGAAGCCGCTGCAAAGGGAAGCTGATGCAGGCGCTCGGAGCTGGTTTAAAACAGCCACAACCCGCCTGGTAGCATCAGGATCCGATCGCAGCTGGCCTTGGACGATTCAGCTGTGTGTGTGTGTGTGTGTGTGTGTGTGTGTCTGTGTGTGTGTGCGCTGTTTTTGAGGGTACCCCTTGTTTGAGGGTTTAAATGGAAACCAAAAGGAAATCACTATTTTGGGAAGACCCCCGCAAAAAAGATATCCAGTTTGGTGCGTCGGATATTTCTTGAAATCGGAACATGTTCGCCCTGGCATTGCGGGGGGTGCATCGCGGGGCGGGCGGACAGGCGGGGGATGGAAAGTATGCAGACACGCGCCGTCCCCTTTAAGGCCAGGCTCCCCCCTGCAATAACTTGCTTTCTGGTTGAAAGGAAAACGGGAGGCAAACGAAACAAAGAGGCACCGTTTTCGTGTTAAACTAAGTCTGGCAGATCCTCATTAACATACCTGACTGAGGGCTCCAGGAAAACGATGTCCCTTTAAAAGGGACCCACAGGTGGGTTCCATGTTAGGAGGGTATTGGCCACGGTCCGGCCAATGCATTGAGAAACCCCAGCTATAGACATCACCTTCCAGGCCAAACGAAGAATTGCCCGCCTTTACTTGGTTGACTTTGGAAGGGGAGCAAACAAATAATTTTTAGCAAGTAAGTGTGGAGTTCCCACTAAACCACAAAAAGCAGACTGTCAAATGTTTCCCAACAACAACCATGCTTAAGGATGCTCTCGGCCACTTCACAACTGGGAGAAGCATGGACTCTCTGTGTGGTGATTATGTTCGCATTCCGATGGAGGGGTCAGAATGGATGAAGGTAGAGGACTGTCCCAGCTAAAGGGTGCACGTGTCTGCGCCTTGTCTTGCAACCATGGAAGTGGACAAGCCGCCCTCTCTGGAGGAGTCTTCCCAAACCTCGCGAAAACGCTGAAATGCTTGCTGTAAAGATGGAAAATAAACACAAATTGGAATTGAGAGCCGGAGAAGGGCAGGTTCCCGATCATAGTGAGTGGGGAAATTCTAGCTGTAAAGACTTAAAGAGGGAAACATGACACAACTTGGAACTGAGCCGGAGAATTGTAAGGGCTGCATTCACGATTCAACCTTTTTTCAGGGGTTCCTGTGGCCTCCATGGTCCTCTGGGAACATCCTTCCGTCTTGACCGTCTAGCTTCTCTTCAGAACCGAGTAGTTCATTGGCCAATCCTCGTCCATGCCTATTGGAAAACCACCATGTTTTCTTTTCTGTTCAGGGCGACGCGTCGCTAAAACCGCAACTCAAGGTGAGGATCTTGCGCAGATTGCCTCAAACAGCCACAGCCCAGTCCAAAGCCCCCCCCCCGAAACCGCCTTGGCATCTCGTGCTTGGTCCGAGCTCGCAAAGGTAATGAAGCCCCACTGCCTGAATCCATCGATCTCTTCGGCGGCCACGGAGGCATGTGCCGCGTGCTTGTGGCGCTTACGCGGGGGGCGTGATATTTACGTGCATGGGAGTTTACCCAAAACAAATCCAGAACTTGGTTTTGCGGACCTCAAGTCAAGTTTGGATCCCGAAAGAGCAACAAATCAAAGGACTCCACCCCATGATTCTCGCGCAGGGCCTGCCACTAAACTTGAGCCCATTAAAACTGGTGTCCAGGTTGCCAACAAGACCCAGCACCAAAACAGTTTGCAGGTCAGCCATAAAACTGGGCCAGCACAAACCAACAAGTAACCCAACCACGCTCAACCACAAAACGGGTTCAACCTTTGTGCGAAGACCATAGACTCAAACCCGCCGATGGTCAGTCTGCATTTGTCCTTTTTTCCCCTAAGAGGAATGCTTTGCCCGGCGCTTTCTCAAGTTCAACACAGCCAAGCGCTAAGCCCGGTATAACCTGGGAAGCCCGGGCGAAGAGAAGTCCCGCACTTGTTGGGCATGGGTGGCTCGTCTTTGGAGTTGGTACCCCCTCTGTTGGTCGGGTTTTTAAGGGAACAGACATGGAGAACCGAACCCGTTTGGGGGAGGCCAACCTTGAAGACATGCCCTTATGATCTTCTCAAGTGTCAAGCGCGTGCAAAATGAAAACGACATCATCACCCCCTTATGTTCAGAAAAACCGGCTCATTGGAGAGCTCCGAAAGGCAAAAAGCCAGCTCTTGAATAAGGCCGAAGGGCAAACATTGGGGGGAACACCACGACATGATTGAACATAAATCCAACCATGGATCCAAATGCCATAGGTCCTCCAGATTTGAGAGGTTAGAATAAGTTGGTACCAACTTTTTTCTGTAGTCTATATTAGTAGGGTCCCGAACCCTCCCAACCCAAAAAGGGTAAAAGGGGCACTGCGGGACCTAGTTGTGGAATCGGATTCCTCCAGCTCTTGGCCAGCAGCTCAGCTAAGCCAAAAGCAAAACCCCCCCTTGGATCAAGCGACCTTCCCGGCTCGCAGTTGGGCTTCAGAAACACGTCCACCACCTCCCCGTACTTGCAAAACTCGTCCATCAGGATGTTCCTAGAGCTCCGGCTTCCAAATGCTTCAGTCTTATGTGTTTGTGCGCTTGCTTGAGTTGTTTGTGTGTGTGTGTGTTTTGTTGTCTGGATGTTTGTTGGTTTGTTTGTTTGTTCTTTGTGTTTGAGTGGTTGTGTCTTTGGTTGCTTGATTGTTTGTTTGGTTGTTTGTTTGTTTGGTTGGTTGTTTGTTTGATTGTTTGTTTGGTTGTTTGTTTGTTTCGTGTTGTGTCTGTTTGATTGTTTTGTTGTTTGTTTGTTTGTTTGTTTGTTTGTTTGTTTGATTGATTGATTGATTGATTGATTGATTGATTGATTGATTGTTTGCGTGTTTGTTTCTGTTTGGTTGCCTGTTTGGTTGTTCGGTTGTTTGGCTGCGTGGTTGATTGTTTGTTAAATTGTTGGTTGGTATGATTAAGTGTTTGCTCGCTTGATTGATTGATTGATTGATTGTTTGATTGATTGATTGATTGATTGATTGACTGACTGACTGACTGATTGGTTGGTTGGTTGGTTGGTTGGTTGGTTGGTTGGTCAATCGTTCGTTCGTTCGTTTGGTTGTGTGTGGTTTGTTTGATTGTTTGCTTGTTTGCTTCTTTGCGTGTTTGTTTGTTTGTTTGTTTGCTTGTTTGTTTGTTTCTTCGGTTCACATGGCCAACATTTGTAGAACCCCCCCCCCTCGAGGTCCCAACTTTCTCAACCAGGGGCAGGGAGGCAAAGAGGCAAGCCCGCCTCCAAGACGTCTGTGGATGGAAAAAAAAGTCCTGTTGCTAGGTGGTTTCTGCAGGGTATACCTAGAGTCTCCTTATGACCCCTAGAAAAAGGGGGTCGTGACCCCTTAATTTTGGGTAATGACCCCGTTCTTCAAGGGTCATGGAGACTCCAGGTAGGGAGTTGTCCATCCCAACTGGTGTCACACAAGGTCCTTACAGACCTCCGGGAAATTGGCTCTGAAAGGCATCTGTTTATAGAACCAGACTTTGATACCCCGAGCTCCTTGGCTCCCTTCCGACCAACGGCCAGTGGAGGATTTCGTACATCCACGGTATGCTGCGACAAAACCGACAAAAACGAGGGATCTTTTTGTGCAAAGGGCCATCGATCAATGTGAGCTCTGAAGCAATGCAGTAATTAATGCGGCTCATACCCAGCTCAATTTGGAGTAGTGGGTCGATTCGAGTGACATCCTGGTTTGAAGGGACCCCCTCGAAAAGTCATGTTGAGAGCCCCTCAACATGTAAGCATACTGTGGATGGTTGCGAAATCCACTTCGCACCATGCAGAAACCCTGGTTTCTGATTCGATTCCCGACTACCAACCAACGTTTTCAGGGCTGTGCAAAATGACCACTTCTCTGATACAACAAAAAGGGCTTCCCAACAACTAACCGGGCATAACAAAAAGATTCCTGAAGATATCGCAGAAGTGGTTGGACAACCCCCGAGTGATCCCACAAGCCTGTGTCTGATTTAAGATTCGGGTTTTCCTTTTGGCTTCCCTTTGAAACCACCATCAAATAAAACGGGTATACTCTCAAAAATCCGACTTCCACCCAACTGGGCATTTCCCAGCCCAAGAACAAAACTGCCGGGGAGGGCTCGAAGGTTCCTTTCTCGGAAGCTTCGGCAGATTTCGCCATCATTCTAGGGGTACCTTCCAACCATTCTTTGCAGGGATCCGAATCTTTTCAGGAAACCATCAGAAACCCAGCAAAACGCATCCGTTTTTTTTCAACAAAAAGAAAGATGCTTGAAAAGAATGGAGAAAAGGAATCAAGCCCTGAAATGATGGTTTCCCATGGGGTGCCCCTTGGGTCTAGAGATCCCATGGATCCAGCCCCTTTTAGACGAACAAACCGGGCATCATCTCGCCTTCCCAAAGCCTCCGGGAAATCCCCAAAACGCCAAGCAGCTCATCGATGCCCTCTGGCAGGGTGCCCACGAAAATCTGCCAAAATCGAAGCGGAAAAGGAGAGCCACTGGATGGTTGCGAACTCCGCTTCTCGAAACCACCGGAAACTAATGTTGGTTGGTATTTACAGGGGAATCAAGTCATTGCAGGGTTTCTTAGGTAGTGCAATATTTTGTTCACCCACAGTATCATCTTCCATGTGCGTTTTCGGCCCCTGGGAAAAATGAAGAAACATATGTCCAGTAGTGAAATCCATTCCCCTTAAAACCAAAAATGCAAATAGAAAGTCATGGATGAACATATGAGCTCCGGGGGTTTGGGAAGGGAGAGGGGAGGGAGCCCAAAATTAATTCTGCATGCGTTACGTGAGTGAGAGACAGTATGATTGGTAGGGACAGGCCGCAAATTCCAACACGGATATGGGGGGAACGTTTCAACTTCCCATGTTCTCATGCGGAAGCAAGTGATTCTGTCCGGGGCCCATGTGTGGCTATGGGCAAAAGACGCAGGCTTGGTACTGCAAATGGTTGCTTGAACACAAGGGTTGAAACCATTGCTGGTTGGCCGGTATTTACAGGGGACCCATCATCCCCAGTGTTTCCTTCTTAGGTGGCGCAGGATCGTCCATTCACAGTATGATAGATGAACACATTCAGCAAATACCAAGGGCAGATTTCAGACAAAGGGGTTTGGTGGTAGGAAAGTTATATACCACTTGATCACTGCTTTGCAAGGTGATATGGATGGGATGAAAGCAGTCATACCTTCAAAAGCCATACGAGAAAATACCCTTGAACATAAGGCAGAATAGGAATAATTTGACAAAGAGGGTTGTATCGAGCAAACATGCGTGAAAACATGTCTAAGTGCGCACATATACACGCTTCCATCTGTGTATGCATCAGGTCGCATGAGTGTTTCTCAAAAGTATGGGCCACCTTTTGGTTGGCATCCAAAGGAAGTCCAGTTGGAAACAAACCATTCTAGGGGCAAGCTTTCCTTGCACTCGCTTGAGCCCCCCGGGACCAAAAGATGTCCCTGTCGCGAGGAATTCCCTAAGCCAACAAGGGGGAACAAAAACATATTCATTTCAGCAGGTGGAAAACAGGGCGATCACCTGGGATCCTGACCAGAATTCTGGAAAAAAGGGCAACCCCGCTAGGTCCTCCAGTAGAGAGGTTAGAATATATAAGGGTACCACCCTTTTTCTGTAGTCCATTTTCGTAGGGGAGCCCAAAAACGCAAAAAGGGGCGAGACAGGGCACTACTGGGGAACATAGCCCGTTTAGTCCCTCGTTCACCCCGGGAAAATATCAATTCCCTTAAAACGAACAAGGGAACATACCGTGGATGGACGACATCCTGCACCACCTAAGAACCCTTAAATACGATCAAACAATGGTTTCAACCATGGTTTCAAAGTGGTGCGAGAAGCGGATTTCGCATCCATCCACAGTATTTTAGTAGGGTTCCCCTCCCAACCCAAAAAGGGGTAAAAAAGGACACATAGCTGGGGACCTAGCCCGTTAGCACCCCCTCGTTCACCCCCTCGTTCACGGCCCCTTTGGGCCTTCTTGGGCCCCGTGTCCGCTTGCATCGCTTGCATCGCTTGCTGCTGCATCCCGCCGGTGCCGAAGAGGCCCTGGTTCCTCGCCAGATTCACCTGCCGGTGGATCGCTGGATCCTCCTTTGCCCCCACTCGGTGGGGCCCCACTCATCGCTCAGGACGAGTTTGTGGCAATAACCCGTAAGCCAAAAGCTCTATGAGGGGCGATGGCAGGTGTCGTTTTTTCAGGGTACTCTTTTTTTGGGTCTGGTTTGAAGGAGAACGAAAGGGACACCAGCATGTTTCTTGTTTTTTTGGGGGGGTCAATTTATTCCATTCTATTGCAGCAACGGAGCTCGCAAGAAACCCCTCCCAAAGTAAAGAGGGATTGTCCGCGCACCCCCCCGCCCTGCCTCACAGGGTCGAGTGGAACCCTCGAACATGAGGTTCCCGTTGGTGGCCTCCTGGACTCGACCAAAAGGCCGGGCCAAAGGTCAACAGCGCGAGCTTGTACCAAATAAACTTGCTGGCGCTCAGCTCGGAACAAGAACTGATATGACCCTTGTAAACCATCCAACCTGTGGTTTCCTTTAAGGGGATCCCAGGTCTATTCCTACATTCCCTATACTGAGCACCAGCAAATAAATCTCGACCCTGCTCCCAACAAGCATGAAAGTAGACATTTGTTGTTTTTGAATGGTAGCAATCCTGACACTTCCACAATTTTGTTGGAAGGGCGATTAATAATCAACCTGAGTTGGTTGACAATATAGCGTCTCAATTAGTAGTGCCCTTAGCCTTCCCAAACCCAAGCTTAAGCTTGGCCTCGGAAAACGTAGCTCCCAACCCCCCCCTCCCCCCGCAAGCACCGTTTTTTGGCCAGGGCTCCTGCGCGCGTGCCGCCTCCTGAGGGCTGGAGAAGGTGACAAAGGCCCATTGTCGCCCTGACTCGCAGCCCTGCTTGATGAACAGCTCCTGCAGGGCCCAAGCTTGGAGCCAAGCTTCAGAAGAGACGCCCATGGGATTCGGACATCCATAATTAACATCCATTTCCCATTCTGGGATGCATGAAATTGTATGAACGCTGGGGATCAACCTACCTTGGTTCACGATGGAAGGGGAGCCAACATTTTAAAAGATTTGAGCACTTGCGTGGGGGATTTCCACCACTCAACCACAATCAGCAAAAATGTAACATGTTTCCCAACAACAACCATGCAAGGTTCGTCGGAATCTCAGCGGCTGTTCCGTTTTTGCCCCCGGCCCCTTTTGGCTGTGGGTCAATTTTACGTGTTCGACAAAAACCTTGAGACAGAAGAGACCCCAAGGGGTAACATACGGAAAAGCCCTTCGCGTCCAAAGGTCTAGCAATTTCAAATCCCCTTGCAAATTCAGCATCACAGTCTTGCTGGCTCGTAAGGAAACAGCCATCCCCCAAAAACGGGCTCCAGTGGTGCTTGATTGAATTCCCATGATTGAATTCACATTCATGGGGCCCCACCCTTACAAAGTTCGACAAAAAACAACACCCGGCAACAAAAACAAAAAAACAAAGGAGCCGGATGGAACTGGGGTGTGGTTGCCTGGAATCGCAAGTTGCTCACTCACTTTCTTCCCAAACAACAGGCTCATGTGATTTCAAACCAACATGCACCGATTCCTCCCCCAAAGGTCCAAGAATGGTCACCTTCCCGGTCCAAGCCGAAAGCACGAAGGGCCCATGGCTTTAGGAAAGCTGAAGGACAAGCAGGGTTTGTGGCTTTGGGCGATGAGGGTTTTCCTCGGGGTTCCCCGAAGAAAAACAAAAAAACATCCAAACAACGCCGAGATCCCACCCCTCAATCCAGCCCCTTTTGGATCCAACACACGGGGTGTGCCGCGTGAGGGGACGCACCAAAATGGGCGCTTTTTCTTGCGATTTCCCCTTTAAACCCGACCAAATGAGGTTTCCCTTAAACAAAAGAGGGGAGAAAAGAGTCACAAAGCTTGGGACGCGACTGGCAACAAGTTGGCTGCCAAGCGCGTGTATGTCCCAAGTTCCAAAACCTCGCACAGCTGACTACCCAAAACCCGCAGGGGTCACTTTCAAAAGTTGATGAACATGATACTGGTGGTTTCCATTGAAACGATCGCCGCTTTTGGAGCTCCAAAAGGGGAAATGGCTCGGAAAGCATGGTTCTACCCAAATGAGAAACGCCGAAGAAACAACCCTATTGCTGAACTCTCCTTTTCAAGCTTCACTTCCGATCGAGTGGACTGGCCAAACAAATCCGGGGCTTGTTATTTACCACTAACATGGCGTTCCCCAAAAACATGAAATTCAAGTTCATGAACTCAGGGACTGAGTTTTCCATCCGGACAAAACCCTTTTTCGGTCCCCCCAATTTTGACCTTCAGGCGCCCCAACCCGAAAACCCGCCGAACCCGAATCGCCTCGATGTAGCCAAACCTGGAGAACATGGATCGCACAGGTTCCTCCTACAAGCGTTGCCGATTCGCCGATTCGCCGAGTGTGCGCAGTCAAACGCTACCCCAAAAGGCAATACTCTCTAAACAGCTAAAACCTGGGACGCAAGAAACCCCGGTGTTTGCTGCATGCTTGGGAATGAGAAAAAAAAAAGAAAAAATCTAACAGAGCGAACTGGATGGTGGCCAGCCAAGATGTGCCTAGAGTCCCTATGACCCTTGAACAAAATGGGGGGTGGCCTCATCACCCTCGTTCTTCATTTCCCAGTACCCCCCTTTTTCTGACGGGGTCATGGACTCTGGGGTTGCATCTGGGCAATGGTATTCCAGGCCGGACCCCTCCCCAAGTCTGGGAACAGCTCTCTGCGACCTGGCTGCGCCTCCCTGGTGGGATGTGCGTCCCTTGGGCTTCTCACGTTTTGACGCCTCTCCTCGGAAAAGTTGGGCCCTGGCTTCAACTTTGGACCGCGGGGGAAAAGAAGCCGTCGGTTCAACCGGAGGCTTCCCTTCCCAACCACTGGCTTCCTTAACTCAGAAGCTTGCTGCCGAAAAGATGTGGTCGAGGAGCGAGAACTGGCTGGTGCCATAGCTTAGCTACGGGATGACCAGGAGTATGGGTGTTGGGAATGAACCGGTTGTGGGGATTCCCTCAAGGAAAACCATAGGGGATTGATTTTTGTGCGGTATCGGGGTCAGTCCAACTCATTCCCTGCTGAGAACCAGCAAGACAAGGAAATACAGGGAGCCCTTGAATTTGCAGTCACAGAAAGCATAGCAGCCGGTGACTATGAGAGACGGGTTCACTCACCAGTCCATCTATGCCCCGGTTCGGGGAATGATTTCGAGTCATTAGTGTTATTGTTATTGTCCTTTTTCTAAACAGTAGACCCCCTTTTGGTTGACCAAGGGACACGCACAATTTCAGGGGAGCACTATTTTGAGAAACCCGGATCTCAGTATTTCAAGTCAAGCATCCTACGAAATCGTTGCAGGTATTGTGTCGCAAGCATATGTGCCGTTTGTCTGCTAACCTGCACTCTCCCCGTTTCAGGCCATGCAAAAGTTCGTGTCAAGGTGTTCGTTTCAAGGCCATGCAAAAGGGGGCCCTAAACAGACATCTCACGTCCTGGAAGTAGCCCCCATGATTGTTTTCAGTATGGGAGGGTCCGTTAAACCTGGTGAGGACCTCTCGACAAATGATTTCCATCTGAATAGCCGTTTAAGCTACTGCCAATAACCTCAACAAATGCCACACACAAACAAAACATGTCAACAAGTATGCAATTATTCCTTGATAGTAGGACAACAAGGTGGTGCACCTGTTGGTTGACGATTTTTACTCGGTCCTAAACCCAAAGAAATACGATTCCAATTTGGAGGGGCATCCACCAAACGTCTGATAGTGCAGAACTCGCTGTCATAACTCACTTCCTGAGTGGATTTGGCCAATCAAACTCGAAACTTCATGTGCCACTAAAATGGCTAGGTCCTCCAGTAGAGAGCTTAGAACAAGGGTACCGACTTTTCCCTGTAGTCGATTTTACTAGGGGAACCCTCCCCAAAAAAAGGGTGAGAAACGGCACTACTGGGGGACCTAGACATGGCCTTCCCAAACAAAACACACCTCCATTTGCTTAAGTCCCCTGGAAAAAAAAGAAGAAAACACAATATTTCCAGTAGTGATAGATTCCCTTTAAAACCAACAAGAGAAAATATAAAATACTCTTGACTCTCCTGGATGCCATCCGGCAGGGAGCCAACGAAGATCTTCTTGGGAGCCTCGTGCGCGAAAGCTGCGCAGCGCAATTTCTTTTTCACCCATGGACTTTTGGCTCTGCATTGGGGGCACTTGGTTAAGACCCCTGGAAAATTGCGTCCAGTAGTGACTGATTCCCTGTAAAACCGAAAGGGGAAATAGAACATATTATTAAGCAAATGGAAGAGAAGACTATATAGGGACTTAAATCCTAACAAAACAATGGTTTCAACCATGGTTTCAAAGGTGGTGCGCACTGGATTCGTTCCCAACCACGATATGTCATCGGCACTTCACCTTGTCAGGATTTTCTTGGCTCTGCAGGGGCAGTTCCAGGTATGGGTTTGCGAGGCACGTGCCCCGAATATATTTCCGCAGTATACCACCGCCATGCCAAAAATCCATACCCAAAAACATGATTGACTGCAACATCCCTAAAGGTTTGTGTATGGCCTCGCTTTTACCGATCAAGCCAGGTAGCACACTCCAAGAGTGCCAAGCCGGGAATTCGGCGCCAGATTTTGCCCCGTCAGTATCGCTGGTTGCTTGCATTGAGGGCATCTGTTCCGCTAGTTAACCGAAATGTCCCATGGGAGTGTGGTTGAGTGTGGTTGGTTGACCGCTAATTCATTGTATTTTGAACCATGGGTTTGTGGGTGGGTGTTTTTGGTTTACTTGCAAATGAGATCGGGGCCTCCACCGTAAAATGCCACCTGATTGGGCCGTCAGAAGGGAATCCTTGCCATGGGTGTCCAAAAGTGCCTAAGTTGATGACCATCCCTGCACTGGACGAAATCCATTTCGCACCACCAAAGACACCCTGGAATGATGATTCCCCTGTAGGATTGCGTCCATCCACTGTAGCAACCCTCAGATTTGCCCGTGGCCATCTGGGTCCCGGGCAGAATCCCGCATGAGGACACGGCAAGTTGAAATGTTGCCCCTGTGGTTGTGAATTGGAATTTTGCCTCCCGTCCTGCCTCTCACTGCCTCTCACTCACATTGACATGACTTGGGGAACCCCGCTTTTGCTTGGTTTTACGGGTACTTCAGCAATTTGGAGGGTCTCCTCTAAGTTCGAGACGCAGCGACATTCGAATTCGTGCTTGAAATGGGAGTCTCTCAAATTGAGGAATCGCGTGCTCCTGAGGAGTGGCCGTGAAAATCGTCAAATCTGCCAAAACACACAGATTTGGCACGCACATGGGCGTGCCTTTTGTTCTAGGCGACCCCTCCAAAATGGCAGCATTGCCTTAAAGCCATCCCAGAAAGGGCACCCTTAAGAAGACACACCAAATAGCTTCCAAAAGAGGCATGCGGGCACTTCGAAGGCCTGTTGACCGGGTAAGCCGGAAAAGCACACTCCAAAACCCGGAGAAAAATCTGAGTGAGAACATACTTCTCCCCTAGGGATACAGTATGCATCTACGATATAAAAACTGTATACCCCATCTCCAGCAGACTTGCCCAAAAGACCTGGGATTAAACGGATTCACCCACTGGGATTGACAACCTTGAGACAACATGACAGAACCAGTCGCTCATATGTGATCGATTCACATTGGGCGAGTGAGTTGGGGGTGGTGGCAACAGTCAACATGGCTCCCTGGGGTGCTTTAATCAAAAAAGCGAATGCCAAATAAGGCCCCTCGTGTTGCCCCCCCCCCGAGGAAAAAAAAACAACAAACACTTCCTCAAGGCACCTGCCGACAAGAAACGGTTGCAGCCACCTGTGCAATGGGAGTGGAATAGGGCGCCAAGGGTTGAGGAGCCTCACCGGGACCACCGCCTGAGCGGAGCTCAGAGAGGTGGCTGTCCGACGTTTTGGGCCGAAAGTTCCGCTCCGATCCCAAACTCTTTTCAAGGGGTTGATTCCCCATTCTCTCAACCATCGTTCTTTTCAAGAACCAGCTGTTTCTGTTATTTTTTTTAGCTTTCAACCATCGTTCTTTTCAAAAACCAGCTGTTTCTGAGGTTATGATGGTTTTCTAAAAAAAAAAACTGGAAAGAATGGTTGGAAGTGTCCCCTAGATCTTCAGGATTGCCGCCTGGTCCAAACCAACAAGTGACGAGAGTCAAGGTGAGCAATGGCCACAGAAATGCTATGGGGAAAGCGGGCTTGCCCAACATGATTGCTGGAGGGTACGTATGTAGACTGCAAAGGTTGCCAAGCAAATGTTGGCCACGCAAATGCGATGCAGACTTGTGTTTGCATCGTCTAGCATATCTAATGCTCCCAGCAGATCGATTCGATTCTTTCGATTGTATGCATGCTCGCTCATACATATACGTGTAGGTTTAACATCGTCTTTCTGAAATGGACATCCCCACAAGGCGGCACCAAGGTCCAAAACAGGGCAATACCTTTTAAAGGTCTTTGGGACATTCCCTTCCCCGTGCGGATGGGCTTGCCTCCGTGCCGTGTGGCTCTAGCAAACAACTTGCCCCACAATCAAGCCTCGGGCAGGGACAGTGCCAGCCATTGGTGCGGCCCCGCCCCTTTCATTTTGTTTCCATTTGATTTGCCGCCTGGAAACAATGAGAACCTATCTCCAGTGAAATCGATGCCCATCTTCACCAGCAAGGGAAACTGAAAAACTACTCAGCAAATGGATGCTTTTCTCATAGTTCTTTGGATACGACCAGTGATACTAGAAACTCCATAATGTTGACCCAGGATCTAAGTAGAACCCATCCCACTCGGGGGGTGTTCCCTCAGTGACGAATCCCCACTAAAAGGGGACACCCCCCAATCAAAAGCAAGCAGGGGTTCCGCTTAATCCGGGGTTAACATTAGTTCAGAAACTGCACGATCCATGGGCCGTTCTAAGGAATGGTCCCGGCCATTACCCCGATACTGCGATTGTCCAAGGATTTGGGCGATCGTTGGAATTGGGACCCCAGCAAAAGAACATAGTTTTTTGCCTGGTGAGTGAAACAAAGCAAAACAGCAACAAGGGGAGCTAATTCTGGGGAAGGTTGAAAGGAACATCGCAAAGGGGCCAATCTTTTCCAAGGCCTGGCCCTTGGCCCCGTCACAATGGAGACGTCAGAGTCAAATTGGGCCACTCCGAGTACACGCAAAGGCCCCGCAGAAGGGGTAGGGTTGCAAAGTCAAACCACGCGTGTTTTTGTTCTTTCACCAACAGCTGAAAGCTATCGTACACGCAGTGGATCCCAGTTTGCACTATGGTAGGTAACCAGCCGTTGTCCAGGGGATAGCCATTACCCAACAGGCGCAAAATGCGATCTGCAAATATGCCCAGGTGGCATCCCCAACAGCCGCGGAACCCCCTGGAACCAAATCTTCTATTTGAGCTTCCTCCCTGAAAGCTGTTCCGAACCACCCAATTTCTCGCGTACCTGGGCCTATCCACTCCTATCCACCCCAAAAGTAACTTTCAGCGGTTCAGAAAAATCAAAACGTGATATGGGGACTTGAAGCCCATGGTGCATTGAAGCGCCCCCAGCGCGCCCAACCGAGCCTTGGTTCTTTGCCAGCATCACATCGCAGGGGCCTCAGGCCATTGATCTGTCTATCGTTGCTTGCCGCATGCAAGAACTCCCCCCGGCTTACCCCGCATCGGTGAGCTCGTATGGCCGGACTCAGCGATGCATAAATTAATAAAATCGTGCCAACCCCCGCCCCCCGCAACAAGTACCCCACTGAGTGCCAGCCATGAGTATTTTCTTGGTTGACGTTGGAAGGGGAGCAAACATTTTCAGACTTTAGCAGTTAAGTGGTTGGATTTCAACCACTCAACCACAATTTACGCAAAAATGTCAAAACTGTTTCCCAACGACAACCATGTTTTCTGCACCTTGGGCATGTTTTTCTTTCAGCGAGTCGGGCAGCTTCCCGAGCTTTGCAACAGAGAGGGCAACCAAAAACGTACGCCCCCCCCCCCTGCGTTGCTTTGGTTGAACGTTTAAAAGTTCTTTGTTCGGTTGCTAAACCTCCTAAAACTCACTTTGCTTGACCCCAAACAAGTGATTCTTTTTTGGGGGTTGCTGAACCTCTGAAAAATGAATCTATTCAGAAACCCGAAGGGCGCTGTCGAAAAAAATATATATAAAGAAAACAAAAAGGTACCCGCCAAAGGAAGGCTCCGGTACGGAGGCGTCTGAGTAGTGATAAGCTACTGTGGATGGTTGCGAAATCCGCTTAGGCACCACCGTTCAGAATCCCTGGAATGACTCGATTCACCTGTAAATACCAACAAACAATATGATTTCAACCATGGTTTCAAAGTGGTGCGAAATGGATTTTGTCCATCCACAGTAGCTGCCCTTTAAAACGAGGGCGAAATGGCTGCGGCTCGAAAAAAATGACGCCCAAGATGTCACTGTTTTTCTTTTTTGTCTTATGTTTACGGAACGGCTAAGCTAAGTTTTTGAGCCACACCGAAATGAATACATGCAAGAACATGAGAAGCCTGTTAATGTTAACCCCATAGAAATCAACCCCAGTTTATTGCTAGGGGGCTGTCTCTGGGTTTAGTGCGGAATCAGACCACTTTTGGAGGGGCCGAAAACCCCTATAAATAAACTGGTTGGTTGATGTTCATATGGGGCCAAGATTACCCAACATGGCACCTGGGCTGTGGAAATGAACAAACTACTGTGGGTGGGACGAAATCCATTTCGCACCGCTCTGAATCCATGCAACACCCAGTGCTTGTTGGTATTTCCAGGGGAATCGACTCATTTGAGGGTCTCTTGGGTGGTGCCTAAGAGCATTTCGTCCACCCAAAACGGGAAGCCAAGGCGCGCAAAGCGCCCGGGAAGGTGAGCGTGCGGTCGCAGGCCTCCTGTTAGGCGTTGCTCGAGGCACGTGTTGCTGAAGTTGCTCTAGGCGTTGGTTGGTTGGCTGAGATGGGTTTGGATGTTTTTTTTTTTTCCCCCCTTTTTTTTTTTCGTCGTTTGGTTTGGGGGCGTGCTTGTTTTGTTGGCTTGGCTTGGCTTGGATTCATTTAGTTTGGTGGCTTGGTTGTTGTTTGTTTTGTTTGCGATTGTTGTGCTTCCATTTGCGTTTAAGCCCCGTGGGGGGGGGGAACATGTCCAGATCCGAAAAAGAAGAAAACATAACAGAACCAAGTTGTGTTCTTATTTGTGCGTCGGCTGTGCTCAACAACAACTCTCCTCCAAAAGGTATGGAAAGTTTTCCTTTATGATTCAAGTATTGGTTAGGGCTTCTGACAACAGTTGGGGAATGAACCCAGAGTTCCCCTAAAAGCAAACCACAAGGGATGGTTTATAAGGTTCATTCCCTCATTCCTGCGAGCACCAGCAAGCAAATGTCAGAGCTGCTCCCAGTTGGCTTCAAAGGTAAGTTTGGCAAAATCACGTCAAACTACAGTAGATGGACAAAATATTTAAACCCCTGACATAAGGTATCTTTTGTGCACCCCGCACCCCAGATCTCAATGTTGAAATGTCAGCGCTGACTTTATGTTAGTGGGGCTTGATTTGATTTGTCCACTGGGCCCGTGTCCCTGCGACACATTCCAACATTGAGATTTGGGGGTGCGGGGTTGGTTCATATTCAAGGGATTGAATATGTCGTCCATCTACGGTAGCCATTGTTTGAAACTGTTTGTTTACGGCATTTATTTCCCTGATGGTCATGACAGGGCTCTTTCTGCCCGACGAGCCTCATATGGTAAACACCCTCCTTCTCACAAGCATGGAAGCTGGAAAGGGACTCGTTTGTTGGCATGCGGCTAGTCTTCCTAAAGTGTGCACTTCCATGATTGGAAACAACTCAGAATAGGCAAGCTTGTCTTTGGACACCCCTGGCTGAAACTAAAGCTGAATCGGGGGGGCCAAGGTTCTATGTTTGGTATGGCTTTTCTTCGGCCCCATCCACCCACAAGACCTTTACCTCTTGAGTGGAACCAGGTGGCAAGCCCTCACTCATGGCCTGAAACTCACTTGCTGAGTGGATGGCCCAACAAAAGTTCAAACTTTGTATTTAGCACTAAAATGGTCCAAACCCAAAAAGTTTAAAGTTCATGAACTCAGGAAGTGAGGAAAAAATCCGGGCTTCAGGCTTGGCGTTCTTGGGGTGTCAGTTGTTGGATTTGGGTTGCCTCAAGGACCCAAAGATGCTTTTGAAGGCTTCTTGGCTTCTGGGTAACAAAATGACCCAGGATCTAAGTAGAACCCGTCCCATTCGGGGGGTGTTCCCTCCAAAAGTGCTCTGACTCCAACCACTAAAAGGAGACACCCCCCGATCAAAAGCTACCAGGGGTTTAACTTAGATCCGGGGTTAACAGTAACAAAAGGATTGCAACTTTTTTTCTGGGAACCAGAAAGCTAAGAAACAAGTTGAACCACTGGACAATTCCCTGAGAAATTCCCGGAGAACCAGCAAGCTAAAAAACTAGTCAAACGAAATAATTGCAACCCACTGGGTCCTTTGAGGAAGAACCCCCCGCACCGTCACCATCCTGAGAATGGAAGCGAGGATGCCATAAGAATCTTGAGCTCACCGCCGATCGAGTTCGGCCTAAAAAGGCAACCAGCCTGGGTGTTTGCCTCTTAAAAATGGCGACCAAGCACAAAGACAGACTCAAGTTGACTCCTTGGCGTTGAGCGCCTCCTGCACTGAGCCGAAGGTCACAAAGGCCTTGGATCGCAGGCCCCAAACATTTTCCACTTCCATTTGCTTGGGTATATTGTTGACTTTCCCTTTTGGGTTTGGAAGGGAATCCATCACTACTGGAAACATGTTTATTTTTGCCAGGAGGTTAAGCAAATGGAAGACATACCGGGTGACACGTGTTCCTGTGCGTCAAAAATGGGTCGCCGACATACCTGGGTTCTACCCTGGCAAGTGGAGGTAAGTGGACCTATGGACTAAACTTCTGGTGGGATATTTTTTTCCCATACCCTCTTGCTCCCGTAGCTCCAAGGCAAATTGGTCAGAATGGAAAGGAGTTTGGGTTTGAATTGAAAGGGAAAATGGAAAGGACATCATCATGTTGCACAAATGGGTTCAACATGCGGGCCTCCCCATGTCACAGAGCGACACAAGGGGCATGAGGACTAAGTTCTCATGTCCCTGGTTCGTTTCTCTGTGAATGCCAATCAGCTAGGTCCTCCAGTAGAGAGGTTAGAATAAGGGTACCCTTTTGCTGTAGTCTATTCTAGTAATGGAACCCTCCCCAAAAAATGAAACGGTAAAAGGGCACCTAGCTGGGGGACCTAGATAAGGGACTGAGTGCCACGAAAGACCATGCGGTTCTGGCAACCTGCCCATCCCTTTGCAAGCACTAAACCAGCATTTGTGCCCTGGATTCCACGCTGCTTTCCGTTGGATCCATCAAAGTGGACAAGTCATTTTGCCCACTCGCAGACAGAAATGAAACTGACCAAACATGATTTTCACACAGCTCCCTTTTTGGGCGCATTATGTTTTTTTCACGTGGTGTTGCGCTTTCAGCATGCAACCGGGTGTGGCGCACCCTGTGGAGATTCACTAAAGTAGATTGGTTGACCATCTAAGTGGTTGGATAAACACTCAGCATAATTAACAGCGCAGAAACCAGGTTAGAGGTTGAACTGGGCTCACCCAGAGAAAATATTGAGACTTGGTTGCTGTTGACCCCCCTGTAAAAAGTTTAACTTTTTGTGGGTTTAGTGAACAAAAACCCTTGATTTCCCAAAAACTAAAGTCTAAAGATCCAACCCAATAGCAGTCAAGGAGAGTCCTGCCCAAACTGGGCCTCCCAGCCCATTGCTTGCCTGGAGGGCATTTCTCCTGGAGGCATCTCGGGGGTTGCCTGAGGCCTACGAGCCTAGGGCCCGCCAATGGGCAAATTTTGACCAAAAAAAACTCCGTTATAAGGGGGGGTGGTCCAACCCCTGGTTCCGACGGATCAGAAAAAACTATACTCAAAAAAAAGAAGGAGTCATCCTAAGCAAATGCTGCACGCAACCGTCGTTTCGTGGCCAAGGCGGATCCGCATCCATCACGCGGCTGCTTTAAAGTGAGCTTCCTGTTGGTTTTCCCTGACCTCCTGAATTCTCCGGACTTCGGCGAATCCGAAAACGCAAAAGGACGGTTCCCTTGTTGCAAGGGGGCCAACGCCGAAAAGTGAGGCCATACTGTGAGTGGTTGCGAAATCCATATCCTGCACCACCATTCAGGAACCCTAGCGTCTGATGTTTCAGCCGTGGTTTCTCAGGTGGTGCGATGTCTGGATTTCGCACCCATCCACCCGGTTTTTGTTTGGACAACCCGAGCTGGCACGGCAAGGCTGTAAAAGCGGGGGCCATGGACCCAGAAAAATGAAACACCTGGGCCCCAGGGCGGGCACCAAGCAGTCAGAGACCGGCTGACTAGGTCCCATTTGAGAGCTTGGAATAAGTTGGTACCAACTTTGCTTGTGGTCTAAATAGGGGAACCCCAAACCCCGAAAAAAAGACAACCAGTTTTGCATCAACCCACCAAAGGCCAGGGGGACAAATTCAAAACGCAAAATACAACACACAACCAAGGGCCACGGTTGAAACAAAGTCAAGGGGTCACGGAGACCCCTGGTCATTACTCCATTCTCTTTTTCGGCTGGGGAAGTAGAAGCCGCGCGGGTTTCGAAGCTCGCCTTGATGAAGATCTCCTCGACATGGCCATAGGCCTCGAACTCCTGGCGGAGCTGCTCCTGGCGCGATGATGCGTGGAGCTGGGTGGGTGGGTGGGAAGGGGGTGGGTTGGGTTGGGTTGGTTTGGTTGGGTTGGGTTGAATTAAGTTGGGTTGGGTTGGGTTGAGTTGGGTTGGGTTGGGTTGGGTTGGGTTGGGTTGGGTTGGGTTGGGTTGGGTTGGGTTGGGTTGGGTTGAGTTGGGTTGGGTTGGGTTGGGTTGGGTGGGTGGGGTTGGGCGTGGGGTGGGGGCTAGAAAACAACCCTTAAAAAGTATGGGAGAGAACACATGATGTTTTTTCTGCAGCCCCCGTGATCCAGCCACAGTGAAGTCCAGGAGAAACAAAGGTTCAAACCCCAAACCAAGTTGCCCTTGAAAAGCAACTCGGGCTGGAAACCAGAACTAATAACAAAACAAGTATCCAAAAACAAGCCGCGCATTTTGTTGAATACTGTGGATGGACGAAATCCTGCACCACCTGCAAAATGGACTTCGCCACCATCCACAGTATCTAAGCAAAACAGCCCCAAGAAAATCAACCAGACGTTTAGTCGTTAGGCCTGGCTTCCCCAGTAACACATTCCATTCTTGATTCCCATCCTGGGTGATGTCTGCAGGCAGCGATCCCACAAACACCTTCCGCATCTCATCCGCTTGCAGGGCCTTTCGGCTTCCAATCTCTCGTTTCCAGGGGGGAACCAATGAAGTAGCTCAAGCGACCCGATCCGTTTTTTGTTTTTTGTTTTCCATGCCAGACATGGACCTGGATTTGTTTGTTGTTGTTTCAGCGATGTCGTTTTTTTCAGGTTGCACCCTGTGTCATGAAAGGCAAGCGTTGGCCAGATGGAGCTTATGCACGCGCTGACTCGAGGCCTATGAGCCGAAAACGAAGGCGTGACAGCGAGGCCTCGGGCCTGGGCCTTGGGCACCAGAAAATGCCCCCTATACTCCAAATGCCCACTTTTGTTTTCGGGGATGTTTTTTTTGAAAAACATGGGGTTCCATGGTAAAGACCTCCTTTTTTCAGTAGAGTCGACATGATACCTTTTAAACAAAAATCATGAAGGTATCGGGTGTAAGGGGTAAGCTGCATGTTATCACACAAGGGTCAGCGTCCATCTTGGGCTGGGGGTTCCCATTTAGTTTCAAGGGCCATCAAATCCGCCAAGCCAAACAACTAAGGGCCATCTTGCAAGGGTGCTCCCCTTCGATGTCACAAGTTGGTCCTCTTAAGGAACCACCAGGATCCTTTGTGGATTGGCCACTTAGGAGGTTCACGGCAACTTCAGAGAAAGCTTAACAGTGGCAAACAACCCGTCACACCCACGGCGGCCTACGTCAAACTAGAAGACCCTGAAATATGCGGAAAAACCTCGTAATGGCCCTCTTGGACGGACAAAATCAAGGTCCCTGCCAAAACAAACGAACACACACACACACAAATCTGGAGGGGAACCTTTAAAAATCTTGGGCCACTGGGAAAACTGGGTTGCCCTCAGATCCCTGGCTGAAAGTTTGACTTGCAGCGGTTTAAATGGAAACTACTACTAGGCCAACTAAAATCAGCTAAAAGCCTAAGGATCCAAATGGACCAAGACAATTTTCCAATTCAAATGCTGTGAATGTTTGATTCGCTCAATTCATGCGATCCAAACCCTAGGCTCCCCGAAACTTTGGTTCCTAGGTGTTCGTACAATTGACCCAAGCATGTTCCTCAAAATCATGGCTTTTCTCAGAATCAAGTGGAAAAGGACATCTTCCATTGTCTTGTTCGCCCCCTGGAGAAAAATAAGAGACAATATGTTCAGTAGTGCAATCGATTCCCTTTAAGACAGGTGAAACAAAGAAATGATGCTCATTTCAAGTGGAAGTTCCCGTGTTTCAAGTGGCCAAGCACGGCTTTCTGGCCTCAAACTGGGCTTGAAGCCAGATCCGAGTCCCTGGTTGCTTCTTCCCCCTGGGCTTCCGGCTCGGCCACCTGGCCAGCGCTTTGGCTGAAGGACGAAGGCGCTTACTCCCAGAACCCCGAAAAACCGATGCATTGAGGAAACTCCTGGGAAATTGACACCCCCTTCTTGGATTCCTTCCGATGTGTGGAGTAAGTCCTCCGGTAAACCCTAACTAAACTCCCCAGACTCGCGGCATCTTGGTTGCTGGCCAAAACGTCTCTGCAAGAAGACAATAACTTGTTCTGGGGTCCAATGGACAATCCAGTTTCAACCCAAAAGTCCCAAGGGATGATTCCCCATTCTTTCCAACCATCGTTCTTCTCAAAAACTGGCCGTTTTCCCTGGGGTTCTGGAGGTTCTCTAGAAGGATCCCTGGAAAGAATGGAAAAGGAAGGCACCCCTGGAAAAAAGTTCAAGTCCAAAGACCCCTTGCCAAATAGCTGCCATGAAAGGAACCCCCAAAACGCTGATCCACTGGTAGAGAAAAGGGTGTGGGTCCAAATTAAACACCCAGAAGGCCGCAGACTTCTCCGTCCCTGGCAACCCATTTGCCAGAAATTTCTATTTTGGGGTGACCCGACTTTTGACCCGCAGCCCACAACTTCTTTTGTCACCCCCCGCCCTGTTCGGAAGTCCCCTCCGCTCACTTCCGATCCAGCGGACTGGCCGTCTATCGCTGGACATATCTCTTCACTTTTTCCAAGGGCTGGAGCAAGGGGGGATTAATTATGCAAGGGGAACCAGGGAAATCCCGAATTTGCCAACAAAAAAAAGATTATGCAAGTAGGGGAACAAGGGAAATCCCCAATTTACCGTAAAATTTCAATGGTTTTGTGACCATATTCCCAAAAAGCTTAAAGGGGAGTGAGTATTAGATTCACTGTCAGCAAAGCCAAGGTATCCTTTGGAAGAATTACCCTCCCACCCATTAACATGGAACCCGACGTTCGGGATCCGGTCCCCTTTAGAAAAAAACATGTCCAAACCAGGATCGACTCCTTGAAACATCAGATTCCACGTACTTAATTGGTGGGAGGCTATGTGCCATTTAGCGCCCGCTTTGAGCCCAAGCCATGCTCGTTGCACCTCCGTCCGCTTGGCGAGCCCGCAGAAAAGCAGGGGCCACACCACCCGGAAGATGTGCACCCTGAGTCCGAAAACCAGAAACCAAGGAAAACGTGGACCCCCCGCCCACTGGGTGAAACACCCCGTAAACTCGGTTGCTTTCTGCTCCCCTGCTAAAAGTTTAACTGTTAGTGGTTTAATGGAAAACCCATTAGTTGGCAAAACGTTAAAGTCCTAACATCCAAGCAAAATGCACCAAAGTAAAGGTTGTCATTTTCCTCGCCTCAATCCAACTGGTTTAGGGGGTGGGCGCCATCTTAAGACCAGAGTGCCGGTGTGGACCCGAATTGCATGAGTGAAGATGGGCATTAGAGAGTACAACAAGGGCCTACATTTTTAGATTGGGGTTGTGCATGCTCGAAAAAGCCATACCGCACAATGACGGGAGGAAAGAGTGTGTAAGTAACTATTTAGCCCCTCGTATTTCCCTTTCACCCTGGGTTCGAAAACTGGTCTTTCAACCACCCTCCTATGTGAACGGGGGAAAGATGTGCATGTTGGTTGCAGCCCCGGAATTTCAAGAATAAGTACTGTCATGGGGCCTGGGCTGGTAAGGCCCCCTTTTGCTGGCGTGTTGGAGATGCACAGATCCAATGCCAATGGACTGCCCGCTTGTGGCGGATTGTCAAACTTGGTTCGGGTTGCTCCCCACCCCCTAAATGGCAGGCTAAAGGGATACCAAGCAGTTTCTGGCTTGGTTGGCCCAGAAAAACAGCGAACATAATGACCCCAATGTTCATTGCTAAGAATACCTTCGGGTGTGGGGAGGGGGGGTTGGCGTGTGCCTGCCAAGCACAAGTCTCCTCGCTTCTCCTTGAAGCAGAACCCAGGAGCAATCAAGAGGTGAGCATCTCAAAATGGGGGACACAAGCAAACAAATAACAAGTACACTACGCAACAAGACCAGGTGATCCAGTAGAGAGGTTAGAATAAGTTGGTACCAACTTGTTTTTCTTCTGTAGTCTATTTTAGGGGAACCCTCCCCCAAAAAGGGTAAAAGGGCACTACTGGTGGACCTAGAGACAAAACAAAAGCAAACAAACACGCAAGACAAAGGCCATCAAGCAACACAAACACAACAAAACGAACCAACACGAGGTCACACACTTGGTTGGACGCTGGACGGCGTCCCTGCAGACCGTTCAGGCTGTTCAGACGAGTCATCGAGGCATCGAGGCCAGGGCAAGAAGTACCGCAGCGGCAAGGAAGAAGTGACGAACTGCCACCTTGCAGTTTTCGGAGAACTGAGTTGCTGATTTCTAATTCTCACTACCCTGGGAGTGGGTTCATCCTTGGGAAACGACCGAAGTGAGTCCAAAATGGCACCCACACTCCCAGGGCGGGGAGGAGGGGGGGGTGTCAGAATTTCTGTCCTGAGTGGATGCGCCAAAAGAATCCTCAACGCTCAGGGACCCAGGAATAGAAGGTGATCACCTTTTGGGGCCATGACTTGAACATGGCCAAAATTGGCAAACCAAAAGGTCAAAAGGTCGCATCACTTGCAACTAAAGGACCTGAACTTAAAACTTGCCCCATTACTTAATAAGACTTAATCATCATCCATCCAAGTCTCCCGCCCAAGTGGTAGGGAAAAGGAAACAACCCCGGAGTGATGCTGACAACCCCAGAAACAGAAAGAAAAGGCCTGTAAACTCACTTCCTGAGTGGATGGGCCAAAAAAGGTCCACAGGTTTTGACCACTCAAATGGCAACCAAGACCAAACAGTTTCAAGTCCGAAACGGAACTCAGGAAGTGAGAAGGTGTGTACGGAATATCCTGGCAACAGACAACTCGTCTTTCAAACACCCTCCAGGAGCCTTGGTGAGTGCCTGCCCGTGGGGCTCTCGCCGAAGGGGCGCCCTAGGTGATAAACTCAGCTTCCCTCTGAGTTGTTTTGGAGCCAAAGAAGCGGTGGCTGGGTGCTGACAAAAGGCGTAGTTTCCCATGCAAACCCTCGATAGAAAAGCCAGGGACGCGTTCAAATCCCCCAGATCTCCAAAATAAGTGGTTTCCCTGCGGCTTTTTTGTTGAAACTAACATAAACCAAACCGAACCAACATCAACCAGGTCCCACCAACGTGGCTTGGTGTTGACGAAAGGATTCCCCGGATCTCCAAAAGTGGTTTCCCTGCGGCTTCCAGGAACTGAAGAAGTGAGACCGTCAAATCAACGGCTAGTTATCTAGTCTCCACGACCCCTAGCAAAAAGGGGTCATAACATGTCATAACCCCTCAATTTTGGGAAATGACCAACCATTTTCAAAGGGTCAGAAGGAGACTCCAGGCTTGGTTGACGTTGGAAGGAGAGCAAAAAAAAACAAAAAAACCAAAAAAAACAACATATTTGTTCAGTGGTTGGATTTCAACCACTCAACCACAATTTACGCAAAAATGTTTCTAGTGTTTCCCAACAACAGCCATGGCAGTAACATGATTAGAGTTAGGCCCAGTTATAGAATGTATATGTTATTGTTTGCTTCACTTTGAGTCACTGGTATCCCAAGTCTACCCCAGGTAAAAGGAGGTCAAATCCTCTGGCAACAGCCGCGCCACAGGAGCTTGGACGCGTAT